TAGTGTAGAAAAATGAGTCTTAAAATGTCTTTCGTCGATTGCGCTGCCGAAACTATTAGCGATAGAACAAAATAATGTACAACAATATTGAAGAACATCATAATGTCTACAAAAAACTCCGTGGTAGCATGTTATGTCACTACAACAATCCAAATTTCCAAAAATTAATAATTGTCTACCCCGTACGAAGCCGGGACGGGCTGCTAGTTAAATTGTATATAATTATTGCAATTTACATTGACTGTAAATTAATTGTAGGTATTTCAGCTGCCTGCAGCATACAGCCTAGTTGCATTCTTTCAAGATTTAGATCAAACTTTGCACATGTAACTTTATAAATCTAACAAATATCAACCGATGTATTGAATAATGATGTCGTGGTGGCCTGGAGGTTTAAGACGCCCGCTTCCCGTGCATGAGGGTGCGGGTTTCGAAATCTACCAACGGCAAGTACCAATGTGACTTTTTCCGAGTTATATATATACTACCTACCTACCTACTTTCTAAGATTATGTAAACACCACTGACCAAAGACTACTATAGAGGTAGTATACTGGCTACCACTGACAAATGGTGAAGGAAAACATCGTGAGGAAACCTGGAATTATAATTTCTAATCATAAGTTTGTAATCACCAACCCGCATTGAGCAAGCATAGTGATTAATGATCAAACATTCTCCGTGTGAGAAGAGGCTTTGCTCAGCTTCGCTTTTGATGATGATGATGATGTGTTGAATAATAACGTCAATGACGTGGTGCGAAGTGAATCGGGAAGCTCAAGACCGGTTGAGACGGAGGAGCTGTGTGGTCGCTCTGTGCCCCAACTAGAGGACATAAGGCTATACGTCAAGTATTGTATGTTACATATAAGTAAGTGCCTAGTACCTACCTAGTTAACTATTGTGACTATCGTTTGGTGACTCGAGAAATGACTAGTCAATAAAGGGGGAAGGATACATAGATATCTAATACAAAATAAGGACGTTATAAAACGATGTATAAAGGAAATGTTCACATTGCTGACTACACGTTATCAAATTCTTGTGATTACTCATTACTCATAATGTATGTTTTGTGTGTGTTATAGTCACGAGGTACGAGTAGTCGCAAGCTAGACAGATAGATTTGCCGCAATGGCTCGGCAAATGTACCTCTGATACATTACGTTTACGTCGCACTGTTAATCTCCAAAGGGATATGACTATCCCTGAATGTGCCTATAGTATTTTATTTACTGTTATTAGGCCCAGGGAATAGACCACGCTTTTACTCTGAATTTTAAAGTCCGAAATATCAAAATTTTCGTTAACGTATTTGCACACCACATTGTCGGCAGTTGTAACACTCCACCAACGAGGTAGTCTTATTTGATATCGTAAATTATTTATTTTGTTGTGAGATTTCATACAGCTATTTTATTTAAAAATCTTGTCTATTTCCGTCCAAACTTTCTTTACTATGTTCTGTGGTCCAAACAAAAAAAAATCAGACCGAGACCTATTTCAACTGTACCTAAATAGTTCAATGTTTGCATTAGTTGCCATCGCAACTATAGAGCACCTAGATTCAATCTTAGTCTAGGCCCAGGTACCGATTAGATATTTAGTAAGTAAATTCTGTTCCCCAGAAATGCGTGTTTGCAACAATTGTTAAGAAGGATAACAGTGTAATTTTACACTTCTTAGAAGTTGCGTGCGCTAAATAATGGGTACAAAGAGGTACAATATATCCGCTAATATTGTGACGTCAACGGCGACCCTCCTAACTACTGGCGGTAATATATCTATAAACAAGGCGCAAATTAGCCAATTAACGCTCTCTACTACTATTGTACACTATTGTGTTAGATAGTTTTTGGCATCTTTTCACACCTAATACAAATAAGTGTATGAAAGTAAGGACGTTGCAACGTTCTTGGATGAAGGTAGATAACCATTTTATCTCGACAATTCTCAATAGAATTCAGTTTAGAAAAAATAAAAGCCATGTGGATTTTTCGTTCCAATATTTTTTTCTTCTTATTGTCCATCGAGTCTCCAATATGATGTTATCGATCATACTGCGGTATGTTAGGTACCTAAAATAATTTAATAATACTGAATTCGTAAATAAGCAATGGAATCCAAGCGATGCAATGAAGAATCAAGCAAATCATAATTACGACGAGGTTGAATAGAATGAACCATAACTTAATAAAAAACTAAATAAACCTATAATAATGAAACATTTATTTGATATGAATTAAATATCTCGATGGTAGAAATTATAGAAAAGTTGGTAGAATTTTTCTACCAATTCGCGTCGATGAACTAGCCGAGAATATCAACCGCATCAGCTGGCTCTATAGATCTATATATACATGTACTCTATGGTATGACATCATGGTGCTGTCTGTCATGTCATTCGTGAGTTTTGTTCGATTGGCCGTCATTGGGTTTTACGACGAATTTTGTCCTTTTGTGATGAACTAGAACATTCGCAATAAATTGATTTTTTATTTTCACAAACTCAACACCGCAAACATGTATTAAATTGTGAAAATTCTAAAGTAAATGTGATTGGATCAATCGCCCTGAATAGCAGTTGAAGATATCCCACTGTAATCACGTCGTATGCACTAAATAACATTGGCCTCAAGAACTGTGATGGAAACTAACTTCACCGCGACCTCTAGGCGGAAAGAATCAGCTGAGGAAGGCTACAAATGATATATACAGACACGAAACTTTTGTGAATCACTACGAAGAGGTAAGCTGATCGTCGACAGACGGGTTTTATGTGCGCGTGACGGTGACATGAGCACAACCAACAAGCGGCGCGGAGCTAGCAGTTCCAGTTGTTCTGTCCCTGGGGTGCCTGCACTGGTGAACGCGCCAACCGCCATGTCTGCCGACCTTGCGTCGCTATTCGAGTGTCCTGTGTGTTTCGACTATGTGTTGCCGCCGATCCTGCAGTGCCAGAGTGGGCACCTGGTGTGCTCCAGCTGCCGTCCCAAGTTGTCCTGCTGCCCGACTTGCCGCGGCCCCCTCGGCAACATACGTAACCTTGCTATGGAGAAAGTGGCCAGCAATGTTATGTTTCCATGTAAACACTCCAACACCGGCTGTACTGTCACCCTGGTGCACACTGAGAAGGCGGAGCATGAAGAAGCCTGTGAGTTCAGGCCATATTCATGCCCCTGTCCTGGTGCATCATGCAAGTGGCAAGGAGGCCTAGACCAAGTTATGCCACACCTTATGATGTCTCACAAAAGTATTACTACACTTCAGGGAGAAGACATTGTGTTCCTGGCCACTGACATCAACCTCCCTGGAGCAGTAGACTGGGTAATGATGCAGTCATGTTTCAATCATCATTTTATGTTAGTCCTTGAAAAACAAGAGAAGTTTGATGGACATCAACAATTCTTTGCCATTGTGCAACTCATAGGATCTCGGAAGGAAGCAGAAAACTTTGCTTACAGATTAGAGCTCAATGGGCATCGTAGACGACTCACTTGGGAAGCCATGCCGCGCTCCATCCATGAAGGAGTGTCATCTGCTATTATGAATTCGGATTGTCTGGTATTTGACACATCTCTTGCACAATTGTTTGCGGATAGTGGAAACCTCGGAATAAATGTCACAATATCCATTGCCTAATCATTACCACACTTATTATTTATAGCACAGTAACCTGAGTGACTTTCATTGGCTGTTAACAATAATGTAATTATGTTTCCAAGTCAATGGAATTTAAACTTTTAACCACAAAATATAATAGTTATTAAATATAATTATACTAAAGAACATATACATATGCAATTGAAATAAAACCATATTTTTGTTACAGTTTGTGGTGTTTGAGATGTAATTTTGACTTGACATGTTTTGTATTGAATTTATGAAATAATCAACATCAAAGTAAGCCAAAAATAATGTTTTTTTATTCTCATTACTTTGTAAATGTGTGTTCAACTTTAGAGTTAAGTAGTGGAAAGTTTAAATTCTCAGAGTGAATGATAAAATATTCACTTTAGAATTGCCTTGTCGAGATAGTTTGTATAAGAATTGTGACCTCTCACATGAGAAAAGTGATTATTTTATTCCAAACATTGAACAAATTTGTACTAACATTAATTAATAATCATTTGTATATATTATGAGCATAGACATTTATGTTGCGAATGAGTGATACTGCTTTGTGGAAAGGCTTCACCAGATATAAAGGTCACAACAAGTTGACTTACACCCAAGGCACTTATCAGATTTCCAGTGTTATCATTCATTCTGGCAGATAACAAAGATATTCACATGAAGTTGTTAACTAGGTCTGCAGTATGTTGTTGCGTTTGCGCAAGCTATATTACACAGTGCTAGTGCTAACTAGCTTTTTGAAGCCAACTTAGCAAATATGTACAAATATATTACAACAATATGTCTAGTGAACTGTTAATATGACCTTTAGAATGTGCACAGTAGTGTGGTACATTATGCATATTAAATTAAAACATTGTACAAGTCTGAGATGTCAAATAACAAGCAATGTGTTTGAAACATTAAAAATGTTCAATTATTTTTCTGCCGGTACCTGACTGCCAATCTTATGAAGTATATTTATACAATATATTTAGTGCACTTGGGGTTGCAATGTTTCATTATCTGTCGAGACAATCATCACACCATTTGATTTTATTCTAAGTTGTGTTTAGGATTGTATTTTAGTAAACTTATACCAGTACTTACAGTGGTGAGCAAAGGAATAGCATTCGTGGCGCGTATTTTTATTCAAAGTATCTGTTTGAATAGATCCTGGAATAAGTCAAATCGCAATTTTCTTAAGTAGTTCACCACATTGTCACTGTACAACTAAAAAGGACAATGCAGACATTTTGGACATTACTAATGTTCAAAAGTAATGTAACTAATATTGATATATTTCTATTTTTACCTTAATGTTACGTACATACAAATACGTTCGAATCCCAACATTATAATTTATATGCCAGAGTGTGTCGACAGCAAGTATGAAGGAGTAAGAACTTATTCAAGGGTCTAATTTAAGATATACAATTTTATTTTAACCTAACAAAGGCCATGTTTGTATTTGTAAAAGGTTGTCATTCAGGATGTTTTACCGAATATGGAGTACATTCCAAAACTATGCTATGGAATAATCTTGCCACTTGCTAGGTGTCACCCAGCTACTTGTGCAATTTCATTGCTCTCCAATGTATGTAGAGTTGTCTTAAGTTTGTTTTCTGAGAACAATAGCTCAAGATTACCAGAAATGTATTGTTTTCTACATCGTGACTGTTATAATTAATGAATATTTTAGGTATCTTGTAATTCGTTAGTGTTAGCTTCATTTATTTATACCAACCGTTACTTAATTGTGTAGTTTTAATTGCCTCATCTTGTATCACTTCGCGAGTGTTACGGTGAGCATAAAACCGTAACGTTTTTATTATTTAAATTCAATCTCTTCTATATCTAAGAATAAGCTGATTAAAGTTTTATGAAAAATTCTAGTTGAAATAAATTTTGTAATGTATATTGTAGTTTTGATTGAGCGCCTGCATATATTCTAGCACCTGTATTTCATTAGTCCAGTACTAATGCACTTCATGTCATTCATTACATCTCATAGTGAAGAAGAAAACTACATAATATATCTGCCATGCCATTTATTATTTCGACGGGAAACATTTTAAACTATGATTTATTTAAATAAATAATAAACTTGAACAAATCAATAATCGACTTTCAACTGTAGCACCAACCAATTTGGTTAATAATAATAATAGATCTATGATAGATACAACTTAAAGTTAAATACCGACTAAGTAGGTTTTTTGCTGCTTTGTGGTTGTATTGGAGATGGCAGCAAGCAGGCGGTGGCGGGCGTGTCATTGTCGTCTAGGATAGAAGTTGACTGCTTCTCTGGGTTGAAGAAAGGGTCCTTGGATAATTCTACTGGACTGAACGGGTCCTGGCCTCTGTGTACCACCTCAAACGGATCAGTCTCTTGCTTCCTCGGATCAACGAAACTGAATTCATCAAACGAATCCAAAGCTGTTTCGAAACCCTTTGACGTTTGTGGGGCGAAGGGGTCAAACGTAGTTATTTTTCTGAGAGCCTCTGGACTGAATGGGTCCTTGGGCTCAGATTTAGGAGCTTCCTCGGCTATACTGTTGTCGCCACTGAAATCTGATAGATCGATATCGTAGTTTATGTTACTCAGTCCTGGTGCCAGTTGGTCCGTCCCAAATTCGTCGGGAGTCATCAGTTCGTCGATGGACCGCGAATCGAATGGCGTAAAGCCTAGAGGTGATGGAGTGAGTAGTTCTAATGAACTGGTCTGCTTCAAGTCCCACGTTTGATCAAGGTTCTGTGGTGATTTGGAAGGAGATTGTCTTTCAATTACCTCAAAGCCAAGGATGTTAAGTTTTGGCTCGGTTTCCGGTTGAATAGTGATGTTTGGTTCTTTGGACTCTGTTGGGATTGGGAGTAAGGTAGCCGCCAGAGGCTCTGGTTTGACCTCTGGCTTTGTCTGTAGTTCTTCCTGAACGGAAGTGGTGCCCAAGTCGATGAGTGGTCCTGTATTGACTTCCTTCAGGTTCCCTAGGCGCGGCAGCTCGCGCCGTGGTTTTATTTCTAACGGCGTCTTCGCGAGGACATCGTGTACTTTTTTGGCGATTTGCTCCTGAAAATTTAAATTTCTTATTATACAAAATTATCCTCTTTATGAACACGAAAAAAGTAATATTTCAAAAAATATAAAAGCCAAAAATATAAAAAATTCTCAGTAGTAGCACGGAGTCTGGAATAGCGCCCGGTATATGGCAATAGGTTCACCCCCTATTACATGGGACTCATAACATAAATAGTGAAAAGTGGTATGATGTGCACCTGTGCCTACCCCTTTGGAGATAAACGGCGTGATGTTATATCATGTGATAATTTTAACTTTGGAAGATTCAAATTCATATTCAGGAAATGTCCTCTTTGAAGTTGTTCCTGTGTACCTCAAAGCTCTGCGCGTTGGCAGCGAGTAGTAGTGCCCGCGAGTGCACGTGGTCGGTGCGCGTGCGCAGGGCGTGCGCCTGCGCGCGCAGCTCGCCCGCCTCGCGCGCCGCGCCGCACAGGGACAGCGCCGCCGCCTTGGGGGGATACCATGCATTCATAATCATTCAATACAATCTTCAAAATTGATCAAATCACCTAAAACCTGAAGAGTGTTCGTTTGTTTGAAAGCGCTAGTCTCAGGAACGACTGGTCCGATTTCAAAAAAATATTTTTGTGTTGGCTAGTCCATTTATCGAGGAAGGCTATTGGCTATAAAACATCATGCTACGGTCAATAGGCACGGAGCCGTGCGGGAGAAACCGCGCGGAAATAGCTATTTTATTCATATTTTGACTATAATTGTAATTACGAGTAATTACCCAAGCGCTGCCTCCGATGGAGGCTGGCATGGCCATGTAGCAGTCGAACTCTTTCTTGTCCATGTTCAGTGACTCAGCCGTCAGATTCTCGATGAAGGAGACAGCGCAGCACTGAAATCAAAGTCGTAACGAATCGTTACTAACGATAAAGTCAAGTCAAAAAAGTATTTCTTCAATCTCAAGTTAAGTACTTCGTACTTAAAGTAACTATGCAGGATATTTTACAAATAATTATGTTGCCGAAGCAATCCAACACCGGAGAGACCAATGAAAAGAGCCTTATTAATTAAAAAAATTTGTTTTGCACCATTTCCTAACTCCATAAATAAGTAGACTAACGTGACCTTTTAGCAATTTAACAAAAAAATTAACAAAATAAATGTCCTGCGACACGTATCGCCAGCGACGTCGGGTGCATAAGCGCGACATAGACTTCGGTCGACATGTCTGGCAACAACGTCGCAGTAGACATAAAGACATAAGCGTTGTCCCTTTATAATATGTCAGGCGAAATCGGAAAGCTTCGCTTGACATGTCCCCCTTACATATTGTTCCCTAATGTATCCATGCCTTAACTGTAACATGTACTCACCAGGTTGGTGAAGTAGTATCCTCCCTCGCCGGTCATCAGTCGCTGCGCGTTACAGAACCGCGTCACGAAGTTTATGTTGCTAACGAGACGAGGCGGGTTCGCTTTCAACACCTGGGAATAAGTGTTATTTATTTATATATAGACATTTTTATAAAACGTCTGTCTGCCTTGTTGGCTGAGTAGTCGCAAATACGACTGCTGGCAAGGGACCCAGTTGGGCATATGCTCTGTATATGGCAATAGGCTCACCCCCTAATTCATGAGACTCATAACATAAATAGTGAAAAGTGGGTGTTCCAATGTACAGTGGCATTATGTGCCGTAATGAGCACCTCTGCCTACCCCTTCCAGGCTAAAAGGCGTGATGTTATGTAATAAAACGTCTGTGGGTCAATATTTGTAAATATAAAATGCTATTTTGAGTTTATGACATCAAAACATTGCTAATAAAGAAATAAACTAAATCGGCTTTTCTTAGCTTTTTTTTAAGAGGGGAAAATCATCGAATGACTACTCCCGCCTTGGTGAGGCGGGAAGGAGTGTCAGACTCTTACTGACTAAAAACCACCACGTTCCTTCTCCTGTACGTCGAGCCGGAGCCCCGGTAACCCGTTAGGTTCTCCGCGACGTTTTTCTTAGCTTAGGCTTCATCGAATATTTTATTTTATTTTATTGATTTGGCTCACCAACAATTTATTACACACTTATACAATATAGGGTTACATTTACGAAAACTTAAAAACTAGTGCATCAATCTATTATAAGTAAGCACAACATGCATTATATACTAAATGGTTTACAAATCACTATGATCAGAGACAGGCAAATCCAACCATTGACATGGATTTAATAGATGATAAACTATCTTACAGTGAATATGAGAGCAGGCAGCAGGTCGTCGGCGGAGGCGGGCGCGGCGCACAGCCGCAGCACGTGGCGACAGCAGCGCCGCACGCGACACAACTTGTCGCCCGGCGACAGCGCGCTGTCCATGCCCAGCAACTCTGCGGACCACGCACACTCGAACTATAGGTTGCGGTCACCGGCGACCGCTTGGTGTTTCACAGTTTAAATTCGGACTCGAAAACAATAACTTTATCAAAATATTCTCATAATCATAGAATAGAAGACAATATAACTATGAACCTTTTATTTCTTAGCCCGTTGAAATCCATCCCCTAAATTTGGTCATACAAAAGTAGTCTCTAAACATTACAAATAAGGTCTATAATGTAATGTAATATTAGTGGAAAGCGGTCACCGGTGACCGCTTGGTGATTTATGGGTTAATTAATTAAAATCACGAGTTACTCACGTGAATATACTGAGAAAAGCTCTACTAGTCAGTGAGCTGCGCAACGTCGCCGCGACCGCGCACGCTGCTCAGAAGAACCCCTCTGTGGTTCGAAACTAGTAGAGCTTTTCTCAGTATATTTACGTGAGTAACCCGTGATTTTAATTAATTTAGTATGTCTCACGATAGTTATTATAAAAACTTATATTTGTAGTGTAGTAACATGGCCCTGGAGGTGACCCGAGCCTGTATAATACGATGTCCCTACCACTGATGGCCTTGTAGAGTAGCTGCCTGCAGTCGGGGCTGTCCCTGTGGAGCTTGCAGTCGAGGTGTCGCTCGCCGACCCAGCTCAGTTGTTGGATGCGCTCCGACATGGCGCGGTCCAGGCGCTCGTCGTCCGTGCCGCTCGGAGAGAACACCACGGACGGTAACCTGAACAAATGTATGGGTTACTATAATCCTAGGTACAACTGGTATTTATAAAAAGTGTTGTAATTAGTTTTGACAAGAGAAAATAATAGATAAAGGTATTTTGTTTGGTAAATGCTGTATGCAGACTGTATGATTTCATTATCCTCAAGGTTATTTTCTTTTTCAATCTCTTTGACTGGATTTAGGTATTGCATTGTTCTCACACAATCGAACTAATAAAACTATGTAACTAGAGAATTGTATTGTAAACCTGATTGAAAAAGAGTAACCTATGGAGTTTCTTGCTCGTTCTTCTCCATAGGAATCTACACCTTGGAATGAGCAACTAGCTTTGTGGTTGCTAATTTTTGTTGTTTGACTTTGACTATGGTACAGTGAAAATATAAGAAGTAATTGAAAAATTTCGTAGTTACAAGTGACTCATGAACTACTTACAAAAGTGCAATCTTAATATAATTTCCAAGAGTTAAAATGATAAAACCTAATATCCAAACGCCACTGAATTTTAAGACGCGCTTTAGTATAAGCCTGTCACAAAAAAATCTTTGTAAAATCATAAAGATGTCATAATTTTTATTTATTTTTTTAATAAAAACTTTGCCCTACACCAGGATTTTCTCCTGTGTCGTGTGTGCGTTTACAAACATACAAGTTCACATACACATAATACCCAGATCCGAAACAACAATCTTTGGATCACACAGAGTTGTTCCGTGCGGGACTCGAACCCGACACGTTGCGCGGCAGCCAGTTGCCCAGTCACCGCGCCAACCATGCAGTCAATATTTAACTACAACTTAAACTTGAGTAGCCTTTCCGTATTTTATTTTTGTATCTGTGTGCGTGCCAACACTGTCTTCTTTCTTTCTCTATGGTATTCGGTTCTCGAGGTATTGCTTTAATTATGCACCTTGTAAATGTGTGTGTGTGTGTGTATGTATGTATGTACTCACTCGTGTAAGTATGTCATGGCGTGTTTCTCTACGAAGTCCATAAGCAGCTCCTTGGTGTCCGCCTCCACGTTCGCGAAGTGCGACGACGTGTCCATGTGCTTCATAAAACGCTGCAGAAATAATAAACATGTTAGATAACGTATTAAACATTTAAAAATAGTACCATACCTACAGTTTGATAAAACGAAAATAACATCACGCCTTTTATCCCTGAAGGGGTAGGCAGAGGTGCACATTACGGCACTTCATGCCACTGAACAATGTAACACCTACTTTTCACTATTTATGTTATGAGTCAAGTGTAATAGGGGTGAGTCTATTGCCATATACCGGGCACAATTCCAGACTCCATGCTACTACTGAGATTTTTTTTATAAAACCCAGTAATACTTTGCACAACCCGGGAATCGAACCCAAGACCCCTTGCCCTGCAGTCGCACTTGCGAGCACCTGACCAACGAGGCATTTGTAAAAGGAACTTCCTCTTTTTTGCAGTATAACAATGACAATAATACATATTATTATCATAAACCATTTCAAATTTCAAAACAATAGTAATTGTTTTTTTTTTACTTCTAAACAGTGCATGTAACTTAGGTATTGAAATCGACACCTCTCTTCACAAAGAAAAATTAGATTTTTTATAATATTTTTTTAACAATTCAAATTAATGTTAGTGTTTTGGACATCAACCTACTCCTATTTGAATTCCCTTCGAATCAAAATCAAACGCAAGTCTTTTTATTGTATCACCTTCGCATATAAAACCTGGCAATAATCCCTTACCTGATACTGTCTCTGAACTCTCTCAGACAGCTCGTCGACGGTGAGCACGTTGGCGCACTTGATGACGTCCATGATGAAGCTGTGCACGAACAGTCGCGAGTCGCGGTCGACGGCGGGGCCGAGCTGCGGGAACCGCGCGCGGAACTCGCGCTTCATACCCTCGTTCACAATGCCCGGGATCTTGAACTCCGGGGGGCGTTTCTCTGCCGAATGGTCGTGGTCATCTGCAAAGAAGTAGATTGAAGTATTCATATGGGATTATTTTGGTAAATTAATTTACCCACGTGAAAAGTGGTGTGAGAACAATAAAGCGTAATAATATTCTGTTTTACTCGTTACAGACTCCATTCCAATTCTATTCTGTTTTTATGAAAAAAAAAACGCAAAAATTTTGAAAAAATACGTAAATGTTGTATTTAATAAAATATTGCGATTTAGAATTAATGAATTCGTTAAATATCGAAAATAAACTTTATAATAATACTATAAGTACTTCTTTTCGACCATGACTGGCATGACTATATTATCTTTTTTGCAATAACTAGGTACCAATTGTAACTGAGAACTGACCCCTATGAAACACATAATATGTTCCACTAATCGCTATGTACCTGTGCTACTCTTCTTGAAGACGCTGAACTTCAACAGGTTCGCCTTCTTGAGGGTCTCGCTCTGCCGGAGTCGCTTCTCCTCAAACTTGGAGAAGGAGGAGTGGGAGGGGATCCTCAACCCTCGGTCCGGCTTCTTCTGTTCTGGTTTCGGTAATGTTGCTGATGACTCTTTTTCTGTCGAGAGAGCAATAATTATAATCATATGATATAAAAGTTGGAAGTAAAATCCTCAGATCAAGTACCTATTGGACTTTTCAACCAAGTCTGGAATATCAACTCACACCTGATAATTCGCAATAGGCTCTTCCTTATTGCAATACGAATACAACAACAAGAGACCTATGGTATTTTCTTTAATTCCCATGTGGATCTTGATAGAAATAAAAAATGATTATAAATCAAATAAAAAATGATTATACCTAAATCAAATAAAAACAATACAATCTTTAGCTTCAGTATCGCATTTCTAACCATCGATGAAAGCTCAACTAATAAACCTAAGTTGGTAACATTAGACGAGAGTAAAACACTCTTCAGCCAAGCCTTCTCCAGTAAACAGGCGTGAAGATATGCCTAATAGATATGAGCAGACAAACATAATCATAAATAGATTAGTATGTACACGAGCTTCGCTTCCCAGTCAATGCACGGCGACACGTGTTGACGTTAGTATTCTAGATTTGTTCAAGTTTCTACGCAGTACATATGCACCTGGTAGTGCATCTAGTAACACGTATGTAGAAGTAGGTAAGTACTTATGTGTGTTACATGATAATACTGACAAGTTTCTTTGAATGCAATGCAGGAACTAGACTATCTAGACTTATTTTTAAGGGAGGAAAATCATCAGGGAGTGTCACTCTTACTGACTAAAAACCACTCCGTTCCTTCTCCTGCACGTCGAGCCGGAGCCCCGGTTAACCGTTAGGTTCTCCGCGACAGACTATCTAGACTAGATTATCGAATGGTGCATTCACAAGAGCGCGACCAAATGCTATCGTTGCATTTGCTGGACCGACCAAATTGTTATTTGTTTTCAGTTTTTAAACAATTATTTGTTTTGGTCTAATTTAGTCATTGGCATTTCACCCAGAGAGAACACAGATCAAATATATTTTGTATGCATTACTTGTTTTAGATATAAAACATCACGACATTGCTTTGCTATCAGAATAGGTAGAGAAGCAAATATAAAATTCAGCATCCACTTAGTGACGGTTACACGTACCTATTGAAACGCCTACGCGTGATACATTGATACCTTGGGGCTAGGGGACGACCCGACGGGGATAATTGTATGTTCTAACTATTTATATTGGGATGGCGGTTAATCGAGCGGTTAATGCGGATAAAACTTTATTATTATTTATTTTTAATTAAACAATGAGACTTTAGAATTTCAATATGTAGCACGACTTTAGAATTTCAAATAGAGATGCGCTGGTCGTGAGCGCTCTTCTTGGTGGGGACGGTTCGTAAAGCCGCACAACTGCTGAAAAGGTCCAGATAAAAAAAAAAAAAAAAAAAAAATCATCATGGATTAGAGTTGTTGTATACATGTTTTGGTGTGTTCGCAAAAAAAAAATTGTATTTATTAAAAATGTAATTAATGTAAAGTAATATAAGTTTATTAATAAGACTAATAAAAACCACTAGCACTACTGCAATTAGCTTACTGCCGCGTGGGCGGGGACGTCATGCATTCGTAAATGTTCTACAGTCGGTGGCGCTGTGGGCTGGGTCGTTCCGTTCCCTACGAAATGGTTGATCGGACCGATTGCTGGCCTACACGTCATACCCGTGAACGGGTGCCTTCTGCTGGAACAGGTCGGCTCGCTCATCGTGCTGGTGGGCTGATTCAGTAGGGTTAGTCTAAGATAATAAGACTATAATAATTAGGCAACAACATAAAGTATTGTGTGTAGTACAGTGGTAGGCGTAGCATGTAAGATCTTTATAAAAAAAAAAAAAATATTTGACCATAGAAAGTATGTACTTGTAAATATGACAAGGGCACGGACACGAGTCCGTGGAGAAATTCAATTTTTTATTTATTAAAAAAAAAAAAAAAAAAAAATATGTAGCACTGCATCACACATGGAGCCTGTAGGAAACTTATATTTAAAAAATGTTTGGGTTCCTCTAAAGTTACTCTAAGGCGGAATTAAGTGATGGATTGTTATCTTTGGTTATAAATATGTCTATATAATGAAAGTTTGATATGTGGGGCCCAGTATTGTGGGTCATACGTCTAGCCAACGCGTGTGAGTATATGAAACAATCCTTCTTGGTTTTCTTACCCTTCTTTTATTTATTTATATTGCTTTCGTATGTTTATCAAACACTACATAACAGCACATAATAGAGACACGCCTAGCGGTTCACCTTGTGATTCAATCAGTATTTATCTAGCGTATTATGTGAAAACCATGTTTATCTCAATGATAATAACTGGGAAGGTGAAGTTCACAATATCTGCCCTATAGTTATATTACTAATACCTCTAATTAAACATTATGTATTACCTCTTTGATCAAACCCCTTGATAAGTATTGTTCATTGTTATTGTTAGATGATTACACAATTTTTTATGTAGAACCTCTTTGTAATGTGAAGAACTTCGATTTATTATTTCAGTAAAGATAATTATAATGTTTTAATCTCCAAGAGCCTCGACAACCACCTTATGAGGTTGGCATTAGGCAGATGTGTCAAGGGCTTGATGGAGAAGGTAGTTTGTATAGAAACCGAGCACATGGTGAGGAGTGAGGAGGTTCCTGTCTCTGAAGCCACCTGTACCTTGGACTATGCTCCCACTACTGGTCGGCTCGGATTTTTAATATTTTCATTATTTAAACTTAACTTAAACTGTCAAACACCAAGCGGTCACCGGTGACCGCAACCTATTGTTCTATAATTGTGTCTACAAAACCGGTACTCGACGAGTTAAATATGATTTTTAGTTTTATAAATAGTATTTAAAAATGTAATTTGTAGAGGATTTTTGATAAATAAATATATGAAATTATAATACAGTGGTTGACATTTATGATTGATTGAATATTGAAGTAAACTCTCCTTTTTCTGGATCATAAACAAACAAAATTGTATGTACTGATATTTACTGTAACTATAATGTAATGAAATATTTATAAAATTGAAAGGACTAAGGTTTTTGTATATTTGATGGGCCGACATTTGGCCACTATCTCACCTGCTGGTAAGTGATGATGCGGCATCTATCTTTGAATTTGTGCTCATCAGTCATTCATAACTAATATTTTTAAACCCATATACTTTTAACCCCATGTATATAGCTAATACAGATAAAATTGCAGACTCTTTTAGTACACTTTGCCCAACCTGATAATAAATCCTGACACCAATGGTGGTGCAACCATTCAACCATTACGGTGACTGCCTTAGTATCTCAGTAAACTATTAATATTTCTGTAATACAGAACAATAATTATTAATAATGTTATTTTAATAGTAAAGTACTCTTTAAACAATAGCTTACACTTGTGTACATACGCATTATTGCCAAGTATTGCTTGTCTAGACACTATCTTGCAATTATAAGCTATTTCCATAATATAATGACAATTATAATGTAATAGCTATTTGCAAATAATCCACTCATTTGTAAAACTAGAAATTTAAGTTAAAAATTAATTTCTAATTTCATAACTCAATTATCAATGATTTGTACTAGGATTCTAATAAGATGCAATAGCATGCATTCCGTAGTTGCATTAGAACTGTTGATTGCAAAATTAAGATAAAATGTAAACAAAACAATGATTCCTTATTTGCAAATAGCTTAAGTTCTTAAGTATTTGCTTCAGAAATGATGTCAGATAAAATATTTCATGTCCTATTGTTTCAGAATGAACAAAACTTTGTTTTGTATTATTTTCTTATTAGAGTTTTTAAAAAATAAGTTGGCAATCTGGTCATTAGGATTATTACAGCACTATTGGTATGTACCAACACATATATACATTTAGTAAATGCTTTTCCTAGCCTTATTTGTCTTCTTTAGTGAAGAGGGAAGAGTGTGAGAGACTCGAGAGCATACCATTACATGTACGGTGGCCAGCAGGTCAACCTATCCTTTTCTGTCAAATATTGCACCTTCAACTTTATATTATTGACATAAAGTCGAAAATCTAATGAATAAAATTGACAGATTGGAGGAGATCGATGTACAAAACATATAATGCTAATTTTTAATCAGTTACAACCACATTATAGAAGGTCACAATTCCAGATTTCATGTTACTACTGTGTTTTTTTTTTAATTCCAAAACAAGACCCAACAGTCTATGTCCAGCCAGACCTAGGAATTGAACCAGAGACGCATTGCTCAGAATCTGCACTAACAGTAGTGCTTCACTTGCATAATGACTTGACCAAAGACCAATGAGGTTGAATAAAAATACTTTTAAAAATCATGTTCCTATACCCAATATTGTTCTACAGCTGCCAATTTAGTTATCATAAATGTGGGTATGTCCAATAAAGTAGGTATTGTAATTATTAGATTTGAAATAAATATATAACACACAGTATGACTCACCAGCCTTCCTCTGACGTTGCATCTGTTCTCGATGACATTTAGAGCAGTACCCTTGCCACTGAGGGTTTCCGAAGTAATCGCAGCCATTCTTGCACTTCAAATCACTCTGGTCTATCCGCAGAGACGGCATCTTGGACGCAAACATCATATACTTGTAAGACCTCTGCAGATTCGGACCAAACCACATAGTCACAGTTATAATTTACACAATAATTTTGAATTTAACTTGACTTATGCCCAATTATTTGGGCCAATTTGAACAACCATCAATATTAAACTTTGGTGCCACAGTGCGACACTTGCAGCGACGACCGAACAGTAATAAAACTACAATTTAGTCAATTTTTAATGCTCTGCACTCGAATAATCGCCCATTAATTGCAACGACGATATTTTCAGCCCATGTTTCGTAATTTACGATTACTAAGAGCGGTTTTTCGCGGAAGGCAGTATTCATTTCAATGTGCAGCGTTAACGGTGGCCGTTCAACGATTTCCTCCGTTATATAGCCCTCCTCTTATCGTAAAATGTACTTACTCGAGTATCTGATAACCAAATGAATACATGTAACTAATGTAGCTGTAGTTTTATGCTTATGTAGATTGTGTGCAGTTATATGAGCCATAATTGCTCATAGACACTTACCTTAGGTATTGTAATAACAACAACTGCCTTTTGTAGTATTATTTAATTATATTAATACGAAATAACAGCACAACAAATCATTTTATTACTTCGATTGACAAAAGCAAATTATTTCATATTTGACAATTGACTGACAGTTGCTATTTACGTCATCGATGTCATTGACAAAGGAACAATGGCATACAGCTCAGAAAAAAATAAATAAAATGCTTTTGTGCATGCATTAACGTTTAAGACGCATCTTTCTGAATGTTAAATTGATTCTCGGAGCCATTAATTTCTTTCTTGTCGGTAAAGAGTGATACCATATCTCATTCGTTGGAGGATTCATAAGTAGTACGCTGCCATGTTCCAACTCTACCTTTACTGCAAAAAAGAAATGTAAAAAATTACTATTATAAATGGATACGAATATTACTGTCACGGATATAATTCATTAACGTTGATAAAATGTTCTAATAAGCAAATCCTTTTTTATGCCACCACCACTATGGCACAGTAAAAGCGGTTGCTATGGTGATAAAAACATTTCAAAACGTAAACACACCGAAACGTGCATATTGTTCATTTAATTTGTTCTAAATATTAATAAACATGGATATGACAATGCAAATTAAAGATGGGCAGTACACAAAAACTATTTATACTATGGTAAGACTTCTTTTTAAATTATGTTTTATTATGTGGATAGGTAACTAGGTAACATTTGAACAGGTATTCATGAAACCTAGAACTTTATATATAAATACAGAATATGTGCCTAGCCCACCTAAACAATCAAGGAGTAGCCGTAGAAGGTTTACCTGTCCCACAGTCTGGGACTTCGCAAACAAATCAGATCAATATAGCCAAAGGGCACAGTCCAACATGGACACACAGAGAACATGAAGCTTTCCCAATTAAATTCGGTTACAGACCTAATATTAAATTCCTATCTATATTTAGCCACGTGTTTCAAGAATAGACCGTGGCTGCATACATTGTAACTGAGAGCTCGACTAACACAATTCCATTATCAGTTAAGTACCCACTGTTAATGGCTAAGCTTATAGGGATTAATTTCGGAATACGATGACTTGGTATTATTGTGAGAAGAAATTGATGAGTTTGAGAAAAGCTGCTAATATATGCCTTAAAGAAAGGTGTTTAAACAAGAAAAAGTGCAGGAGAATTTATACCTGTAAAAAGAACATGGTGGTTTCATGGACTCAGATCGGTAGCTAGGTTAGAAGAAAAGGAAAGTTGAAAGAAGTTGGCTGGGTTTTAAAAATACCTTTAATTTTATATGAATTTTCGAACATTAATATCAGCAATAATGAATTGTTAAGGGAAGAGAATAGGGTTAAGGGTTAGTAATTTTTAGTTGTTGACCGGACCGGACCTTACCTATTACCCACTTGCTTAATATTTCTTTATTAAATGAATCACGCCTTAGTACTTAGGTAAAGCATGTAGCCTTAAGCCACTTTAGTGGTGACCATTCTAGTGAAGTGGTCAAATAAACAGACGAGGTAATGCTTCGACGGCTTCAAGAAGGTAGTATCACGTGATCTGCATGTCGGAAAGCATGAAACTGATATTAATAACAGCATTATCTACTAGCAATGCCTTGCAGTTTCATCCTTTTCCAATTTCTGATTTAAAAAATCAACCATTATTGTAAAAAAAAAGTATTGACGCATTCTTTTCATATTTCATATAACGATTGTCTTTAAGCACTTGAAATTATCGCTACCGTAAAGTGTCATCATTGACCTTTCAAAGTAACGGAAGTAAAGGTTTTCCACAAACAAACGATAACACCATGCGTTACATAATCAAACGATTATCAAGAAAACGCCAAACCCATAGATATAAACTAGGAAATAAAATTCCAAGGCTAGGCTGCGTATTCGCGAAATAACAAAAAAACGAAACTAATCTCCAACGACCATCGTCGTTAAAAAGATAAACAGTTAAGTAGGTAGATAATTATTGGAATTAGGTAGTGCAGAAACACGCATTCTTGTAACGTCGTTGAGATTAGATTAACGACAATCCAAAGATAATTTTAATGCTTTCAACCTAAATTCAGTGACTTTCATCGTCACCTTTGGTTATCGAAACAGTGACTAAAATAACTTTAGAAAATACCTATCTACAGACCTTATTACTAAAAAGTGCAATAAACAATTGGCGCTTCGTATCGTTACAAACACGTAGGTACCTTAAACCTCTGACTTTTTAATTGTGCCAATTTCGTTATAATGATAAACGCTAATACTCTTTTTATCTTTGAAAATAAATTACGTGTAGAGCCGATAATATCTAGTTAATCTACGAACTAAACAAAGAAATCGACTATCGGGCGCATCGTTCATGGCCTGTGGCTGAAATCAGTCAATTGTATTAATTGCATTCATAATCAAAAAATGCATACTGTTTTCAATTGAATAAAGTGGCTGCCTGGTCAGTAGTATACAACCAAACTCAAAATAGAAAATATAACAGGCAATTATGTCAGTTTCGTATTAGGCTACTCCTTATAACATCGTCCTTATCGTCTTCCATAAAAAGGGAACTCACCTAGCCTTGAATTGTTTACATAAGTATTTCACAATAGATTCAATCAGTTCATAATCTTTGATAACTCAAGTTCTAGACAAAGGCTAGCGTATGACTGCCTTCGATAGGACACACAGTAGGCGAGCAACTAAGTTGAGGATGACAAACACTTAGATAACCTATTTACTGCTGCATAAGGACATAAATGTGTAAAACTTTTTATGGCACATGGTAGGTATTAACCGGTATTAACCGAACACAATAAGAAGCAACAGTCAGCTTTGGCTACACCCGTCCTAACACGTTCCACTTGTAATTTGAATAATCTAATTAGATAATCGGTAAAGGAGTCGTTGTTATGTTATAAACTAATATAGGTACTATCTATCTGATAATCTAATTGTAATCAGGACCTTTGAACTATTTCCAGATTAAGGAAGCGAGATACGACGAAGCAATCAAGGCTCTCAATGACGCCATCAACTTCAGTCCGAACAGAGCGGGACTGTCTCTCCTCGGATTCTGTTACTTCAGGACACAGTCATTCCTTGAAGCGGCCAATTGCTATGAACAGCTATCAGCTATGCATCCCGACATACCTGAGTACAAGCTCTATTTTGCACAAGCACTCCACGAAGCTTCTATGTACGACGAGTCTTATAAAGTCACAATGCAAATCACAGCGCCTTTACTTGAAAGAAAAGTCATAAAGTTACAATCTGCCATCAAATACGGTGAAGAAGACACAATTACTGCAAAAGGACTCGTGGATTCATATCCTCAAGAGGATCCTGATAAGGACATAAATTTAGGATGTTTGTTGTTCAAGGAAAATCAATACGAGGAGGCGTTACAGAAGTTTTCGAGAAGTCTGAACGTTGTTGGGTTCAATGCACATCTTCATTACAACATTGCACTTTGCTATTTTAAACTCAAAGAATATCCTCAAGCATTGAAACATATCACTCTAGTGATTGAAAGAGGAATCCGGGACCATCCCGAGCTAGCAGTCGGTATGCAAGCAGAGACTTCAGAAGTGAAATCTGTTGGAAATACACTAACGCTGCACGAGACGGCGCTTACAGAAGTATTTAATCTTAAAGCTGCCATTGAATTTCAATTGAAAAACATAGAAGCGGCACGTGAAGCACTTAACGATATGCCACCCAGACATGAACACGAGCTAGATGCCGTAACCTTACATAACATAGCATTAACTTCAATCGATATAAAACCAACAGACGGTTTCGAAAAGTTGCATTTCTTGCTACAACAAGATCCATTCCCGGCAGAGACATTTGCCAACCTCTTACTTCTTTATTGCAAGTTTGAATACTTCGACCTAGCTGCTGATGTACTGGCTGAAAATGCACAGTTTACTTATAAATATTTAACACCATATCTGTATGACTTTTTGGATGCTATAATAACAAGCCAAACTTCACCAGAGGAAGCATTTCAGAAGTACGAAGACATTGCTTCGAAGCACGCGGAACAACTCAGAAAACTCACAAAAGTGGTCCAGGAAAGTCGATCTCAGGGAGATAACGACCAAGTGAAGAAAGCTGTCGTCGAATATGAAGAAGCTTTGGAAAGATACATCCCAGTGGTCATGGCACAGGCGAAAATATATTGGGATATGGAAAACTACGGACAAGTTGAAAAGATTTTCCGTAAGTCTGTAGAGTTTTGCAATGAGTCAGATGTGTGGCGGCTAAATGTAGCGCATGTGCTATTCATGCAAGAAAATAAATACAAGGAGGCTGCCAGTTTCTATGAGCCTATTGTTAAGAAACAATACGATAATATATTAGACGTAAGTGCAGTTGTTTTAGCTAATCTATGTGTGTCTTACATAATGACGTCGCAAAATGAAGAGGCCGAGGACATTATGCGTAAAATAGAAAAAGAAGAAGAGCAACAAATATTTGAGGACCCCCAGAAGAAATTTTATCATTTGTGCATCGTGAACTTGGTTATTGGCACTTTATATTGTGCAAAGGGAAACTATGAATTTGGGATATCAAGAGTCATTAAGTCCCTAGAACCTTTTAACAAACGCCTAGGTACAGACACTTGGTTTTACGCAAAGCGTTGCTTTTTATCCTTCCTGGAGAACTTGGCTAAACACTTGATTGTTGTTAAAGATAACACTATAAAGGACTGCCTGCAATTTCTCGAAGGTTGCGAGACTTACGGGCGACGAGTGAGTACTGTTATTGAAAACCCTTTTCAAGAAGAAGACGCGCACACTAAGGCTAAGCAAACGGTGACATACGAGGCGCGGCTCTTGAGATACATGTTTTATAAGTTAAGAAATATTGATGATTCTGTTACTATAAATAAGTACGAGGATTTAAAATAAACGCTTACCTGGAGGTATTGGTCTTTTATCGATGCCAGTCTTTCTTGCATCTCTGTGTTTGAGTACAAAAGTCCGTTGCTGTCCGAAGGATAGAGACGCTATAGGTGCTGTTGGATCTAATTCTGGTTCATTGTCTCTGTGCTCGCCCATGTGATCGTTACCGTTTCTATATCTGTGTGAAATGTTTGCATAAAATATTCAATATCAATATAACAAGACGCCGTGACTAATCAGCGAGTATGATCCTTATTTATTGAGTTACTTACAGCCTCTCATAAACGGCAGTGTATTATGCAGATTATTATATTTTAATAAATTGAAAACTAGATAAGTAATCTTATGACGACTCAATCATATCTTTGTTCTAGTCGTTATTTTATGCAATCATTATATTTATACGAGAACTTAGATAAAATAGCGACGCGACAGGGCGACACCTCATACTTAGATGTTATTTTTTGTTTTTTTTTTTTCGGTTGTCATATCTGACAGTTTGAGAATAAAAAATGTATCTAATGTTGATTTTCGAGAACACTTCAATAAACTTCAACGAGTCATCAGCAACCTGCAGTATGTAGGTACCTATGTACCTACTTAATGTGGAATGAAACATTTATTTTGTGACTCCCAAATTCACAATGCAAGTCTACAATGAACATAACTTCAATATACGTAAAAAAATTAAGTAATCAGCAAGTATTGCCTTGAGAGTAGACAAGGTAGGTACTTTTTCCTACTTGTTGGAAACGGATATGTGATCAGCTAGGATATGCTGTACTTTTTAATCCGAAAATGAACTCGATAGCGGACCGCCATGTCATTGGGTGTGAGAATAATCTAGACAAAAAGTAAGAATTGACATCTTGCAGAATAGCCTAACAGAGATTGAAAAAAAATTATCATACAACTTAAGAAGAGGATTAAGAGTCCTATGTGTATACCTAAATGCAGTTGTAAAAAGATGCAGCAAGTGCAAATTATACGATAATCTTATAATAAATAGGTATTTAAATAAAACTTACTTGTTAACTAAAACAAAGTCGTATTTAATTCCTCTAAGAGCTACCAGAAAGTCTCGCAAAGCCAGGACAGGTGCGGGCCAGGGTAGGGCGGGTACTGTAGTGCCAGAATAGGTGTACGTTATACCCGGGTCGCCATAGGCTACCTGCTGCCGTGGCAAAGGATAAACTTTGCCGAAAACCCTAAAATTAAAGCACTTTTACCAATACTGATAACGAGTTTGGTACTGACGATTCCAAATAAAAGGATTCTGTCTTTTGATGTGGTTGCGCTTCTCACATATACGTACAGTATTGGAATATGTATCAGATACATTATTGTAGAACATACTTTTTTAAAAAGAGTAACGAATGGAGTTCCTCGCTCGTTCTTCTCCATTCGAATCTACATTTTGGAATGAGCACCTAGCTTCGCTGATGGACTGACTAGCAGACAATATTTTTGTATTTGTTGACGTTTCAAAAATACCAAATTAGGGTTTAATTGAAATAAATGCTTAGACTTTGACTTTGATTCTCCAAACAATAAATTATAAGATAAGAATTAAGGTCTAATAAAGATGTATTTTAAAATCTTACTTTATTTTAGACAGGTCTCCAGTAAAATATTCTAAACTGTTTTCCAGTTCTTTAAATATATCATTTGCAATATTTTTAGGTATAGGCACAGCATATTCCAGATCAAGACCTTCTTCTCTAATTGATTTCCAATTTACTGCTTTCATTTCAATTTCTTTTAATTTTTCCATTCCTAAAACGGTAATTTTTTAAATAAGCGTGTGGCAACATTTTTCTTGTTTATTTACTATGTTTGGAATTTGTGAATATTTTTCTATTTTGAGTGTTAGAACTAACAAACACTCGTACACGATATTTATAAAATATATTACTGATGTACTTACTTGGTAAGTTATTTTCTAGTTTGTAAATTTATTATTGGAATTTCATGTGCCCCAATAAATCAACAAATTATCTTTTGAGGTTAAAAAGAATGTTGCCATACAAATTACACAAAAAATACAATTTCATCATTAGAAATAAATAAAAAGGAAACCGTGAGTAAAAATATATTCTCAGATAAACTTCATCCAAATATAAAACTTTAAAAAATTCAACCGTTCTGCAACGGCGATCCCGTTATCTGTGGTGTAGAGTTTGTTATAATAATACTGTTTTGCAGGAATTTTTGAAACGCCTCGGAACCCGTTAAAAAACCTTGAGTTGTTATAGGGTAGTCCACACCCACGCATCGGGACTGGCATCGTGGGTCATTTATTACAGTTCCTGAACTGAAACCAATACAATTATGAAAATATAGATAACACGTAGTTATAAAAAAAATGCGTAGGTACAGATAAAAATAGTTGATAGACACATACTTCATGAAATCCAATAAACAATCCTTGTCGTAATAAACGGAATATTGCCTTATTCTTTTTATAGTTTCTCCGTCATTTAAATCAGTCTCATAGTCATATTCGTACAACTTTTCTATCAGACCGTCTTTGTCTTTGACTGTCCAGACATATTCACCGGGAAGTCCCTTCATTTTGGGAGCGTCAGATATTAACGGTACTAGAACATCGTCTTGAACTATTTCTGCAAACCGCGTATTTACACTTATGGGCCAACTACTCGAGGAATTACTGGAGTGTTCAGATAACTGCCAATTTGACGAGGAAGCTGAAGTTGATCGCGATTTGTCCAAAAACTTTTGTATTTCGGCGCCCACGTCTATGTTCAATAAGTTATCGGTTGTCCTTACTATAAATTTACTGCAAAAAGCCTTTAACTGACTATTTTTGGATTTGTATACCTCGTTTACTAATTCCAACAGATTTTTTTCGGCTTCCTCTTTTTCTTTTGCGAGTTTTTTGACCCGGCACTTCAAAAATGAGTTTTCTTGATGTGTAACTAAGTATAACTGTTGGAAACTGACGTATTTGGATCTATTTTCTTTTAGCACCTTCTGAGTGTTCTCAATGTGCCTGGCAAGTTTATTTTTCGCCAACATTTCTAACTCATATTGCATTCTAATGTTTTTGTTTTCATGGATAGCTGCTATCAAGAGCTGGCCTAAATTTTTTCTCTCTTCGCCAACTTCTTGCAATTTTTTGAGTAATAAAAGATTAACCCTTGGATCTTTTCTTGTTACCAACACAGAGAATCTGTTCCATAAACTTAATATTTTATTGCTCATTTGCAAGCTTATTAATTTGACGGAAGTTATTTTTAAATCAGATATTTTGTATAGGGCTACTTTGATATAGTCTTGCACTTTTTCGATAACAGCTCTAGAGTTTACTTCAGAAAATTTTTGTTTAATAAGTATAATAATTTCTTTTTTTCTATTGTACAAGGATACCACGAGAGCTCCGGCAAAGAACATAACGCATGGCATTACAGTGACTCTTGAGGGCTTGTCGGGCACATGCTTATAATATTTATTGCTTCGTAACTGCACTTCATCGTCTAATGGAATCGTTGTGTTTCTGGCAATTTGTGATATCTTCGTGTTAAGACCTAAAACATTTATTTTATTTACCGGATAAGATGGTAGATACTTGTTTAGGTTTTGTATTATAGTGCATGGAATGAACTCACCCTCCTGTTTAGTTTCAAAGTTTCTCTTCACAATGATATCAAGGGTACACATAGACAGCCACATAGCGAGAGTCAAACCAATCAGCCACTTGAACGCGATGTACATTTTACGTTATTTGAATAAATAACGGATTATTTAACATTTAATATAGCCTGATTATATCTGTGGGAGATTCCGAACCGTGAATTTATTTAAAAAATCTATCGAAAGCATATTTTGCAAATTACAAAACTTGTGACGTTTATTAATGACATATCTACTAAAAATGTAAGTATTGACAATTTTATTTATTCATTAGGCAACAGTAGATAGGTAAATAAACTGTAATAGAAGAATAGGTTTCATATTGCCTCTATGGACAGTCAAATACTGGCAACACCTTCAGGTGTTGCAAAACTTGCCGCCACCCCGCCACCTGACAAGGGAAGGGAAAGGGAAGTAGGAAACTACCTCCTTTCTCTCATACTTAATTAATAAACACTGTATTTGCCCACGGTACCTGTCTTCATAGATACCTAATAAAAGAATATTAATTTTCCTGTGCCTGTCTTTAATTATCAGTTGGAGGCGCCACTGCGGAAAATGGCATTGCCCTTCAAATCAAGCGTCCACCACTCCCTCCCGCCTCACCCAAGCGAGAGCAGTCATTCGATGATTTTCCCCACTTAAAAAAAAAATAAAAAAAATAGTGGGTACACACGGCTACACATCTACACTCCATGGTACGTGGGCATACGCGGGCAATTTGAGATTAGTTTCAAAAATTTTACTTAGTCCCATTTTTGTTATTATAATAACCGATTCGATTCATTTATCATACAATATCAGGTACGGTTCACAACTTGAGTAAAATATAAGCAGTGTTTTTGACACATTACATAACATTTCGCCTTTTATCCCCGAAGGGGTAGGCAGAGGTACACATTACGGCACTTAATGCCACTGTACAATCATGTAACACCCACTTTTCACTATTTGTTTTGAGTCCCATGTAATAGCGGGTGAGACTATTGCCATATACTGGACACAATTCCAAACTCCGTGCTACTACTGAATTTTTTTTAAAAACCCAGTACCTAATACTTTACCCGACCCGGGAATCGAACCCGAGACCCCTTGCCCGGCACTCGCACTTGTGACCACTCGGCCAAGGAGGCAGCGTTTTTGATAATGAAACTAATAGGTAATAACAGTACCCACTTTAGGTACCCAGGTATCAAGTCTCTTATTTAATTACTTGAATATTTAAGACACAATATAAAATACATTAGTCTCCTGTAGATCTGCATTCCACCAAGGGTTAAAATAATCTTTAAAGCACTATAGAATGTCGTTTGATAACACTTCTGTAAGTACTCTCATGAAAAAAAAGACTGATATCCTTATCCTTACTAATATTATAAATCGGAAAGTGAGTTTGTTTGTTTGTTCCGCTTTCACGCCGTAACTACTAAAGCGGTTGCTTTGAATTTTTGCAAAAGTAAAGTTAGAAGTCCGAATTGAATAATAGGGTACGTACTTTTTATTCCGGAAAAATTTGATATTCCCGAGGGAAAACAAAATTATTGGTATAGATGGCGCTGTATGTATTGGTATATGTCACATAGGCTACTTTTTATCCTTATGTAACGCGAGCGAAGCCGCGGGTAAAAGCTAGTAAAATATAAAACGTAAAACGCGTTGACCGTCAATTAGTGCGTTTTAAGCAATTCACTATTTGTCGTAAATACAATCATAGAGCCACCTGATACGGACAAATAAGCATAGTTTACTCAACACGAGAATCCAACCCACAGTGCACAATGGTCGATCCCTCTGCTTATTATGACAAACATGTTGTAATTAATAATAATAATTTCTTTCCAGGCGAGACAAGATAGAGAAGTTGCAAGACGCACCGAAAATGCCTGGAAGAGCTATTGGTCCATGAAAGACCTAATGAAAGGTAATCTTCCATTAGCGCTCAAAAAGAAACTCATGGACGTGTGCATTCTGCCCATCCTCACCTATGGCGCTCAAACTTGGTCTTTGACAAAACATCAGAAGTCCAAACTCAGGGTTTGTCAGCGGGCCATGGAGCGCAGCATCTTAGGAGTCCGACTATCGGACAGAACTAGGAACACCACGCTGCGCTCCACAACTAAAATCGTTGACGTTGGCCATAAAGCCGCAGGCTTGAAGTGGAACTGGGCTGGTCATATCTGCCGCATGTCAGATGAGCGGTGGGCAAAACTTACTACTGAGTGGAGCCCACTCAACGTCAGTAGACGTCGCGGCAGGCCCAAAAGGAGATGGCGGGACGAACTAGACATCTATGACAAGGATTGGCCGCAAAAAGCTTTACATAGAGAGGAGTGGAAGGAGGGTAGGGAGGCCTTTGCCCTGCAGTGGGACAATCATGGCTGAAAATAAAATAAATAAATGTTGTAATTAAAAGACTCAATTTTGAACGCATTTATTTATTAAAAATAAACATCCTTATTTACCAAACAATTGTTCTAAGTAAAAAATTACTCTCTGATATACTAACAAGTCCTAGTCTTTAAATCTAAATAGTTTATTTAATTTTACTCTTATTGCTAGCCTTAGTAGAGCGAAGTTCTTTTTGTACCATTCTTTATTATAATTTAAGTGTAGTTTCCAATTTTTGTCAAGGAAAGCTTTGTAGAAAACACTCATTTCATCTGCCGTTAAGTTCTGTTTATCGACTGGCATATTCTTCTTTAAGTATTCCTCTCTTTCCTGTAACAAATAGAACTTTATTTAATAAAATGTTATGCAAAGCACATAACTGGAAAAAGGCTGGACCATTTAGGATCATTTTTGTTGTGTTCATGTCATCAGGAAGGTTTTTATGAAAAAAAAAAACTTGATATGGTAACTAACATGAGAACAAACATACACAAAAACCAATTATATGCAAATTAAAATTGCCAATTTATTAACTACTTATAGTTTAATATCAATTGGTTAATATTTTCAAAAATGATGTAATTCATTATCTTACATATCTTCTATTTTGAAAATATTAATGATAAGTGTCAACTGTTGACCTCAAAAATATGGCATGTGTGACTGATAGCAAGGTAAAAAGATAGTACCTACTTACAATGTGATGGGTCAAATTATATGATAAGTAGAGGGTCAAAATGTATCTCGAACTAATCTCAAGCAGTTTATTAAATACTAGTGACCCACCCGGCTTCGCACGGGTGCAATATGCATGTATTCGACTGCACGGTTGGTGCGGTGGCTGGGCAACCGGCTGCCGTGCAACGTGTCGCGGGTTCGATTCCCGCACGAAACAACACTTTGTGTTTCGGGTCTGGATGTCATTGTGTATGTGAACTTGTATGTTTGTAAATGCACCCACGACACAGGAGAAAATCCTAATAGGGGGCAACATTTTAATTTTAAAAATATCACTTTATGTATTAAAAAAATCGCATCAGATCCATTGCACAGTTTTAAAGATCTAAGCATACATAGGGACAGACAGACGGCAGATAGTAACTTTGTATAATACTATGTAGTGATACTGGTTGTCAAAGACAAAATAGACAACATATTATAACTAATTTACTAACTATGCCTGTTGTTTCTTCTGCTGCTAGGGTCTTATTGACTGTAGTGTGATGTTATATAGCTTATAACCTTCCTTGATAAATAGATTATCCAACACAAAAATAAATATTGAATTCATATCAGTAGAGAACTACTGATATGAATTCAATATTTATTAGACAGTAGAGAACTACTGAGAGATTATGGTATACATGATCAGCTGATAGCTCAATGAAAAATCTCTCCAACCCTTAAAATTACTATAACAATATCAGTAAAGAAGATATATTTTTGAAAATGATGATTGATGGCTATGACTGCTATTAAAAACAATATAATCATAATATTGTTTTGATTTTTTATGTCATTAGATAATTGGTGCAGACTAAAATATTTTCTTATGATAAACGATTTTAATTAACTTTACACTACCAATCAAGCCCTTTCATTCCTTTGTCATCTATAATGGAGGAAGGTGTGGAATAATTTAATTATAACATATTGCATGGTCATCAACATCAAGATTAAGAGTGTGTACCAAAAATCAGATTGATATGTCGTCAGGAAGTAAAATATCAATTACTAAATTTGACCCAAACTAACAAATGAAGAAGTCAAATTAAATAAAACCATTTAAAAATAATTACTTGATAAAATGTAGAGTTATGTTTCTCCCAAAAATGTTGGTTCCATTCCTGAACTTCAGCTCTCATTTCTCTGTACCTTTTTTCTAGTTTGGTTTCATTAGGTGGAATTCTAAAAATTACTTTGCGAAGATTGGACACTGGATCTGGAGGACCCACCATGTCTGTGCTAATCCTCCTTGGGTTAGGAGGCTGAATAGACTTCGTATCTTGTGTAGCACTTGCATTTCTGACGATGAGTAGATATGATTTATGTCTGTGGAACTTTACAATTGTATTGGAAATCATCGTTATATTTTTGTAACACACTAATTAATTATTATTTACGCATTTTCAAAAACTGGTACACTCGAAGCCTCCTAGAGTGAAACAAGTAATGAATTGTAATAATTTTGAATGAAACACATTTCGATGTAAGTAAAAGTTAGTTGTCAAAATCAGCTGTGTGTGTGATAGATAGATGACAGAAGTCATTCGTTCAGTAACGCTGTTTACGTAACACATTACGCTGGCAGAATAGTCAACTACTAAATAGTGGAGACACAATTGCCATAGAGGAAAAAAATAAAAAAAACCCTGTTTACAAACACGCCGCAGCGTCTCCACGCCGCCACCCACCCTAGTGGTGCTGGTGCCGCGTTAGACTAGTCAAAGTTCGTATTGAGCCATAAGCTCCAATACAAATCCAAATGAAACTAACGCAGTGGCACTAAGGGCGTCGGCAGCAGTGCCCAGTGCCGCTGTGGCGTCTGTGTAAACAGTTACACACACTTGACACAAACTTGTGTACAGTGCACGTCACTATGTTTTTAAAATCAAGACTTTATTATAAGCAACGTATGGATATTTGTAGAAAATAACATGCCTATTTATTATTTATTTTATTTTTAGCCATGATCGTCCCACTGCATAGCAAAGGCCTCCCTACCCTCCTTCCACTCCTCTCTATGTAAAGCTTTTTGCGGCCAATCCTTGTCATAGATGTCTAATTCGTCCCGCACTCCCGCCATCTCCTTTTGGGCCTGCTGCGACGTCTACACATGCCTATGCCCAATATCCCTCTGTCTTTGAAATTTTTTTTATAGATTCTTTTTTCACTGTCATTGTCTACTATACATGTTCATAGTCTGTACCGGAGTGGATTGACGTAAAAACGAAACATTGGCGCAGAAATACAAATTATAAAATCTGTTGATAGCCTATATAACATCAAAATGATTACAAAAATCTTACCTTTTCAAAAACTTGCTTAGAACACCTCATATCAACTATGGTCCGTTCAAATTTTCCCGATTTTTCAGCAAAATCTATCGACCCAAAAGACCGATCTATTGCGACTGTAGTGCAGATATGCATAACTGATGCATGTGTAAAAGGAGGTAATTTCACTCCCAGTTGAGTTAATATGGACATATACGCACTCGTGCCGTTCCCAGGGATACGCAGCATTCTATTTGAGCACCACATTTCAACTCTTTGTCTCAACGAACTCTTGTCTGAGTTCGCGTCACATTGACGCGTTTCGCGCCGGTCTCATTCATATGGTAGTTAAAATACAGTATCAAATTACGATGTATATTTTATCATTAGGATTTTCAAGATAATTATAACGTTTTTCGTATTTTACAGGAGCGGGAGCATTGCTTGGAACACTGTCATCTATGTTTTTTATAAATCGCAGGCGCTGGCCCATTATCATGGGCCTAGGAATCGGTTTGGGGTTCTCATGCGCAAGTTGCCAGTAAGCTGTTTAATATTTTTTACATAAGGAGACCTTAGTGAAGTATAGCTTCAAATATAAAATTGCAGTAGTAAGTTTAGCTTCGTAGTGCTTTTAGTTAGGTACTTATTTCATCAATATTTATTGCAAGAAATACGTCATGGGATCGGAAAAGGGGATTTAAAAAAAATATAAGGCGCGAACAATCGACCGTTCGCTCCGGCTTCCAGTACAATACTGCTTCTTTCTTAATTTTATTTTAAACCATGATTACGTTCTGAGTCCTCTATCTTATTCCTTTATCCTTATTAGGTTATTTTAATTTTTTATTTATATATTGAGCTGAAGCGTTTGTTTGTTTGTTTAGACGCGCTAATTTCCGGAACTACTGGTTCGAATTGAATTATTATTTTGGTCTTGTATAATCCATATTTATTGAGGCAGGCTGTAGGCTATAAAACGTTACGCTACTATCAATAGGAGCCGGGTAAAACCGCGCGGGAATAGGACAAAGTATTTCGTTACTTTGATCATGATTTGATTGCAACAATTAGGTTGGCAACGTCAAAGTACAGCCCATAACATTGGATCATAGATAAATCTAAGTAGGTACTGACGTAATACTTTGTATGGGAGAACTTTAAATATAATTTCTTCTTGTACCAAAATGCTGTCAATTTGGAGTACTTAAATATTCCTTAAGTTCCTTAACATAAGAAAATTCACCTCCTTGTGGTGGAAAGTTATACAATCATCTGGAAAGTTGAATGTACAAATGATTCGAATTCATGTCAAAGTCAAAGTCAAAGTCAAGGGTTTGAGCAGCGAAAAGGGACAGAAGAGGGGTGAATCGATACCAAGAAGAATTTCCTTATATCTATTCACCCCTGTTCTGTCCCTGATAGGAGATCCACTCTCCGGCATGAATGGATGTCACGGCGTCACCTGGCATGTATTGCCATATCAGTAAGGTTACGCCTAACCTTTGCACCCCCACCATTCGCAAGTCCCCCAATCATCTCTACCTTAACCCAAAGAACTCGACAAGACTTCTGGTGTTTTGAATGTCATGGGCTATCGCTTTATCGCTAGGTAATCGGTGTACTCGTTTACCAACCTTCATAATCCATATAAAAATGGTTTAAGGTCGCTTATTCATTCCGGCCGTAAGTGAAAATAAAAGGTCTCATTCTGTTTCTCGAGTTGAAAAACCGGTAGGATTACACAAGGTACGGAGCTCTGTTTGGTACCCACATATCAATTAGGTATTTTTACGAAACGATGGCGATGTTCATCGACTGAGTATAAAAAGCTTGAAGTCATAATTAATTAGGGAATCGAGTAATTCCACCTAGATAGTCACACGGTGGAACCTTTGAATTCGTAGTCAAAGTATTGATATAATCATGTCTATACTTACTCTTTCATATAGACTACTTCTAGTCTTTGCTGTGAGTTGACATTCGCAGAAATAGAAATGTTATTGTCGTTACCGTCGTTACTTCAATTATGATTTTGTCACAAGTCACAACACAATGTTTCGTTTTGCCATCTACCACCATCCCACAACCATTATAAACTCACAAATTCAGATATTACCGATGTAGGTAATTAAAATATCTACTACACAATGACAAGACCAGCAGACCCTGAAGCATGTGCATACGATACTTTATTTAAAGGAGGTAAATAATGATGGGTGTTATATTTTATTTAATTCTAATATCGAGCTCTCCCCTGTGGTAAAGATGGTTTGTTTTTCGTTGATACTCGAGTATTTACCCAAAAATTGAATAAACAAAACACCCAGTATTTGCAGTACTTTCTTAAACATTTTAAGTATTTATCAGAAAAAAATTGTGTTAAATATTTGAGTAAAAACGTATAAATACTCGGTATTTACTCGGTATTTATACATTTATGCGGTTATGCTATATTTCCCAAGGTGGTCTTGTTTCTAATAGTATTGATAGTCGATAGCCTTAAACTGTCAAACACCAAGCGGTCACCGGTGACCGCAACCTATTGTTCTTTAATGTGTCTATAATGACGGTGCTCGACGAGTTAAGGAGCAAAAATCAACCAATTACTTCGCCCGCCTTGAGTGAGGTGAGAAGGCCGAGAAGGAATATCAGACTCTTACTGACCAAAAACTGCTCCGTTCAATTGGCTTTCCATAGTCTCTGCCTACCCCAATGGGAGACAGGCGTTATGTATAATATGTATGTATGTATGTATTGTATGCAAGTGCCGCTCCTTTTAAGTCTTCCGCGGTTCTGTATCGGGCATGTGCCCCACTGGGCCCCATCTGTGGTAGTCTCATGGCTCTTTGCACCATACGCTCGGGTCTGATTCTGGCCGGGCAACGAGCTACCCTTGCTCGCCGTCCAGTGAAGCAGAGCCGTGTTTATGGTGGTCGAAGATCCTCTCGCGAACCCGGCGCAGGGATTTTCTCTCCTAATGGGGGCAGTGTGCGTGTGAGGAGACGGCATCCCAATCCCCGCCGCTTCACACTATACACACACCTATAGATCGCTCTCAAACTTAAATTATGGTTGTTTATTACAATAAATAATTACCTCAATCGAACTGCATTTCGCATTATCTACATTGTCGTTAATTATCATAATGATTGGTGAGTGAATGATAATAAAAATGTTACATTTGGTTTTCTAAGTTAATAAAAAAATAGCTTGAATTATGCAGGGTATGGAGCTCTGTTGGGTACAATTATTTCAATTATTTTTACGAAACGACGGCGATGGCCCGCCTTCGTTGGTTCTGGTGTTGGCGTTGGATACTCATTAGCAAATTGTCGGTAAGCTAATAAATTATTGTTTTATACATTTAAGGCGATTGTTCCAGGGTCGCCCATAAAATAAAATTTTCATAATTTTTTAGCGATTTACAGCCTGATACCGAATAGTTTGGTGATAAATTATTATATTGGAGTAGTAAAATGTATGTGCTTACACAACAATACGTGTTAAAACTATCCACATAGCTCAGCAATTTACAGAGTTATGTTGATGGTTTTTATTTCCCTAATGCGAATATATGTCTCATCCAGCGTAGGTTACGTAGTTCAATAAACGTATACGCCGTGCAGGCGTCGCTTTGCCGCGGCGTCGTCAGTGGAATTGATGTGTAATATGCGGTGTTAGCGCTGCAGTAACGTGACGCACTGCGTAAGTGTGAAAGGTGCTCTAAATTATAGCTATGTAAATCTTATACCGCGAACAAGGACGCGAATATATTTGTGGGAATCATCGGTTTTATACATTTACTATAGTTAGAAGAGCCCACCTATATGTATACTGTGATGTGTCGCGTGAGTCGCCAAATGCGTAGGTAGGCATACAGCATTGATATGACATCCCACTGATTGGCGAGAATCAACAATAATTTTATGTGGCTTAGGTCTGGTAATACTGAGAGTGACATTGACAACTCTGTTATATTGACAATGACAGTGTCACTTTATTACCGACCATTTTCCTGTGTCGTATAATTTTTCACACCGAATTATGTAAAAGCCATAAAATCCCAATAACTTCGTTTTTCCTTGAATGTTTTAACCATCAATACTGTAAGACCTGTAGTAAAATTGAATTTATCAATTTGTGGTGAAATATAAACAAAGTTCATAATGGTTAATGACAAAGATCCCGAAGATAGTTACCGAAAAAAACTGGACATGTGCATTACAGATGCCATCATAAAAGGAGGTAAATATTTGTATTGATCCCAATTATTTAGCTGATTTATATAAATACCAAACACACCTGACATTTTAGCCAGGCTACTCTGTAGTAAACTTTAGTAGAAGTCTTGGACATCCAGTGCTGTTTTGTAGTTAGAATATCTGCTGCTTACGCTGATTAATATACTTTCTTATTAGAAACACTTGCTTCAGACGGCTGTTGGTAACATAAAAAGTTACTCTGAGTTTGATAACAGTGATAATGTTTCAGGTGGGGGCATACTACTGGGCAGCTTGGCGTCGGTGCTTATAGTTAAGAGGAGGTGGCCCATCACAACTGGTTTAGGCATAGGCATGGGTATTTCTTTCGCCAACTGCCAGTACGCTCTAAATAATAGAACTAATTCTCTTTAAGTATAATTAGTTGTAGCGTCTACAGTTGTCAGGTAGGCATCACTTTAGTGTATTCTAGTGTAAGTAAGGTACTGCTGCAATATTTATTTTGTGTTTGTTTGTCGTAAGATCACAATTATCTATTAGTTGAAAGTAATTACATAGTAGCTTGCTTCTTTATTATTTTTGTTTTATAGTAAAGAAGATAAAAAGTGAAATAAAATAATTAATTCTTAAAAGAAACTGTTTTATTGATTTTTTTTTAATATCAGATATTTTTTAAGGAATGGTCATTTGCTGTAAAGCATTAAAATGTTATTTTATACCACCAATAGAGGCAAATGTTGTGAATGTTTATTGAGTTGTGCCAAGTTGATATAAAGAGAATACAGTAATGAACTTTTCATACCATTTATATTATTGATACAAATGATGTAATCTCATAATTTTATTGTATGGTTGCAGGTGGACATGGTGTAACAGACGCGCAAAGGCTACTAAATAGATGCAATATAGGTATGTATCTCTGATTTTATTTTAATATGTATGAACACTGAAATCATAGGCATTGTCTCTCACTGGATAATGCCCAGAAACCTATCATTGCTAAACAGCTATTAGACTTTTGTGTGGAACAATCATGGACTTGTGTTGATCTCGATTTGTTGCCTGACGATTCATATACTTTTATTAGCGAGGCACATGGATGCCGGCGGTGGCTCGATCACTGTGTGGTTACGAGCGCCGCGCGCGCAACCATTAATGAGGTGACCATTTTATATGACACCTACTGGTCTGATCACTATCCTATGCAATTGACATGTAATTTGAATTTAATAAAATCTAAAGTTGTAATGTGTAATGAATTAATAAAAAATAATGTAGTGTGGGGCGAAAGGCAGCCTAGTCAGATTGAAATATATCATAATTATTGTCACGCCAATTTGCGGCTTATCGATTTTCCACCACAATTTATTACTTGTGCTGATAAAAAATGTAACTGTGATATACATAAAGCTTTAATTAAGGATATGTATAGAAATATAGTGCATATATTGACTGAAGGCGCGAAATCTTCCTGTAGCCCGACTTCAAACCCCGGTAGGGGGAAGCACATTATAGGCTGGAATAAGCATGTGAGGGAGGCCCACGGTAAGGCTCGGCGGTGTTATAAGAGCTGGCTGTTGCATGGGAGACCTAGTTCTGGCCGGCTTTATAATGAAATGACTGAGTCTAGGCGTCTATTTAAGACGAAATTGAAATGGTGTCAAAATAACCAACAACAAATTAAGATGGATATAATTGCACAACACCATTCCAATAATAACTTTTCAAAGTTTTGGAAATCAACCAATAAATTGAATATAAAGCCTAGCCGGCCTGTGAGCGTCGAGGGTGAACACGAGCCGGATGCCATCGCAGGATTATTTCGGCAGCATTTCAGAGTTGAGCCGTTTGTAAACCGTGCACGGTCTGAGATGATGTCGGTGCCTGATGCTGGGGCTATACCTGGAGATATGAATGTAAAGTTCACTGCAAAGGACATTCATATAGTTATCAAATCAATGAAAAGGGGAAAATCTCCAGGTCATGATGGCCTCAGCATTGAGCACCTGCGGCATGCTGGGGTACACTTGCCTAGAGTTCTGGCACTACTGTTTAATCTGTGTATTAGCCACTCCTACCTGCCTGACGATCTCATGTATACTATTGTTGTCCCCATTGTAAAAAATAAGACCGGAAATGTCTCGGACGGGTCTAACTACAGGCCTATCTCCTTAGCCACGGTTATAGTAAAGGTATTGGACAGTTTGCTTGACGGCTATTTAAGTAAATATATAAAACTGCACGATGGCCAGTTCGGTTTTCGAACTGGTCTATCCACTGAAAGTGCAATTTTGTGCCTCAAGCAGACTGTGCAATATTACACCGCTCGTAAAACTCCAGTATACGCATGTTTCCTGGACCTGTCCAGGGCATTCGACTTGGTCTCATACGACCTGCTGTGGACTAAAATGTACCAAGACACTAGTCTACCCCCTGAAATTATATCTATATTCAAGTACTGGTACAATAATCAGAGTAATGCTGTTAGGTGGGCGGCTAGTAAGTCTGAGGAATATAAGTTAGAGTGTGGGGTGCGGCAGGGGGGGTTGACCTCACCGAAGTTGTTTAATTTATACATGGACCGCCTGATTGGTGAGCTGAGCGGCACCGGCATCGGGTGTCACATAGACGGAATTTGCGTAAATAATATAAGCTACGCGGATGACATGGTGTTGCTCAGCCCCTCAATCGGTGCGTTGCGTAAGCTACTCAGTATTTGTGAAGAGTATGCGGGGGCCCATGGGCTCAAATACAATGTAAAAAAAAGTGAGATTATGGTATTTAAAGCACCTAAAAAAGAGGTTACTGTGGTATCTCCAATCAAACTCTATGGCACACCATTGAACCAAGTCACTCACTTCAAGTATCTGGGCCACTGGGTCACCGAGGACCTTAAGGATGATATGGATGTGGAGAGGGAACGCAGGGCGTTGTCTGTTCGCTGTAACATGTTGGCTCGCAGATTCGCACGGTGTACTGAACAAGTGAAGGTCACACTGTTTAGAGCTTTCTGCCAGACCTTTTACACATGCAGCCTGTGGACCAAACATACGCAGAGAACATACAACGCGCTGCGTGTGCAATACAATAATGCGTTCAGGGTGCTGATGGGGCTGCCGCGGTACTGTAGCGCCAGTGGTATGTTCGCGGAGGCGCGCGTGGACGGCTTTCACGCCATCATACGCAAGCGAAGTGCGTCTTTAATGGCGCGGGTGCGCGGCAGCCCCAGCGCCATCCTGGCCGCGTGCGCAGTCCGATGGGACTCTGTACTAATGGCGCACTGTATAGGCCTACACGCTAAAGCGAATGTCTGATACATTTCATTTGTGTTGTTTTATTTCATTTTTAATTAAGTATGCTATTACTAACATAGGCTAAGAACATTATTACTAACAAATTATGGAAGCAATTATTCTGCAATAAATTTAATTATTATTATTATTATTATAATGTATCGCAAGTTGTGTTATTAATGTGTAGTTTATCAAATTACATGTGGTAAAACAATAAGTTGACATTCAAAGTGCAATCACGAACAAATTTCGTCTTGAATTAAACAATGTTTCTTTTGTTCCAGCCTTGAAATGAAACACTCTAAGGCTATCCAAGAGATAGAAGCCACTCATGTAATCCGAAACCATAAGTACTGTACCATGAGACCACGACCAACTGACCACTACATAGACCAATAATTGTTGTGAAATAGATGCAGTTAATTTAATCAAAAGTTTGTTTTATTTTATCCTTAAAACCATCTTATCTTAAATTTTTCATGGATCCAGAATTACATTTCTAGACTTTTGTAAATATGGAAACTAGTCTATACCGTCAGACTATACAACCTAGTCTAGTAGGTTAGTAAGACTCCAACAAGAAAAAATAAAACCTATAAATAAAGAACATTATTTATTCATTTATTGTACAAATCGATACTGGAATTAAGATAAAGGATAGATTTAGTGTATCTTAACAATAAAAATAATTTAAATACAACAATAATAATTATATTTTAGTAAGAATAGACAAGCTTTACCAACAACCCATATACAGACACCCAACATGGTGATAACTTTACTATAAAACATGGCAACACAGGTTAAACAGCACATTTATACAGTTCCGTATTGGGGGAGCCACTGTCGTTACACGCGGGCCATTCTTGGGGAACACAAATACTGTAATGTGACATTTAAAAAGTAAATTCAACAAGTGCCATCATAACAGGTAACAGCAAATATCTAAAAATATAAAGATCAACTGTAAAGAATTAATTATTTAATAAAATACTCGATTACAGCTAATATCTAGAATGGGTCCAACAGAATGCGCATGCAACAAATGTAAAGTCCCACCAATAAACATCATAGAACAGATACAATGATAACAATCACATAGTTACATATTTTGTTAGATTTATACAAATTTGTCTTTTTATTCATCAAATAACTTCATTTTGTAGAAAAATGCACTTTATTGTTACCATACAAAGAGTTCGAAAATAATGCTTAAATTAATTGTCATGCGTAAATACTTAGAAAAACATGAAAAAATAATACATTTTATAGAAGACGCAAGTGATTTTAAGAATACTACCCACTGTACAGTCATAGTTACAAAGTATTAATTAAATAAAATTCACTGGCAAGAAAATTTTCACAAGAAAATAAACTTTCATTTTTATCATAAATACCAACTATGACTCACGTACAGACTATAATATGGCAATAACTATAATGAACTAAATTATCATTTGGTAATACATTTGACTAGTACATTGTTCGGGACAACCGATTACACTCAGGAACAATAATAAACAAGACTTTAAATTGTATTATAAACAAAGTTAATACTACAATAACTATTAAAATACTAATACAATAGCGATTTGTCTAGCAATCCGAAAAATAAATGTTCGTTACTTTGACTAAGTTTTGCAAGAGTCCATTCAGGTTTACTTGTAATCCTAGTAGACTAGAGATGAGGTAATACGCGCACACAGCGCCCAGTGTCGTATATTAAAATGTTTAATTTCAGAACTTTAAATCTTATTTTGTAGTAGCTTTGTAAGCAACGTGCGATTTTCCCAGGTGCTATAAAGTTTTTGAGAAATAATGTACTAGTAAAGGGTTCATTTCCATCAAAACTTGTCAAAGTAACGAAGGTACGTACTTAGCCACGTAGTTTGTTTGCTTTATAATAAATTTGTTGTCTAGCTTTCAACAGGCAATATTACGAAGCTCAATCAATTTTACTAGAAGGTAGAATGTATAAAGATTTAAAAAGGTGTAAAGTTACTATTACATGTCGCGATGGATATCGATGTCTATTGCTATGTTAGTCTAGAAATCGTGGCACTTTTTTATTGGTCCGCGTGGTCAAACTTGAGGTAGAGGCTTAATCAAAACTATCATTTTCAAAATCATACAATAATATGTACTACTACAGCAGACAGATCATAAATTATAATAATTTACCTACTTGATGTGAGTAATAAGGTAGTTTCCTAAATTTTATTTTAATGTCCGTCTGGTACATTCATTTAAAACTTTAGACACGTATGTTTTGTTATCTCACAAAATTAAATATTTTCGACGATATTTTGAAATATCGTGTGACGTCACTACGTGCCACATTCTGTAGCACGTTATAACGTAACAACCTCCCACTCCTAAACTTAGCGCCATTTTATCTAAGTATTGCAACTTAATACGAGAAAATAAAAAAATACGTGTATAAAATTTTTTAACTATCTAACTGACGGACTAATTAGAATTTTGATACCCTGGAAACTAGCCAATTATCTCAACCCAATTGAAACTGAATGTTTGTAAGATTAAATAATTCAGTTGTTTTACTTACACAAAATCAAATTGGAAGTCGCAGAACATATTGTTATAGTAATAGAAATCGAAGTCCACGTCGACATGTAACGACGTATTTACGACCAATGAGGTGCAGTGCCGAAATACTGTCCTTACTTCATTGTACTCTATAAAACTAGTTATTGTGATTGTGATACTGTGAAGACAAATTGCTAATTTACAGCTAATATTAATTTATTTATATAAAAGTGTGAATATTTGTTTTTATTTCTCTTAATTTCTTATTTGCACGAGGACCGGTGTGTCGATGGATGTTGTTTTTTTTTCACTAGAGGGCGCTGATGGAGTTTATGGTGACTGTAGTTGTCAAAAGTTGGTCGTCCAAACTACACGCCATTATAGAAGTTTTGTTTAATGGAACCATAATTTCCATTAACGCTTCTAGCGGTGCATTCAGACGCACTAACCCATTGTTATCAAATAACCACATTACCATGCGAGGCAAATACAATAACATAGTTATATAAACCTTGTAAACGAATACAATAAAATGAACGAAACTTATATAAATAGTTATTATATTATTATAGTCATTAGCTAAATGGATGTAGCTATGCAGAAGTGTTCTAACACGTTGCGTTCATGTTCCCTTTCCTAACGTTTAGTGAGGAAAAATTTGAAAACTGAGCTCAAAAAAAATGAATATCAAATCTATCTCAATTTTCGTTTCTTCAAATACTAGTTACCACAAAAACTGTGTCTTTGTAAGCACCGTAAACGTTACCGCCTTCGTATCGATAAACCATCAATAACAACAACCCCATAGATACTACAAATTAACTGCCAAAGACGTGAATTTCATATTTTCAAACACTAAACTGCCTAGATTTCAGTATTCAAAGCAACACATTTGCACAACTACATACATATTACATTCCTCAGTACGACTTGAGTTCTGAACACCGGCCTCCGAACGTATTAAACTCCCGAGCTACAATAAAGCTAATACCTATACAGTAGGAGAATCAGTTCGCCTACTTATTCAACATAGGCACTAATACAATTTGGCCTAGTACTTTGGACACACTTCTTATGAACACACGTATTGAGGCAGCTCTCAAATTATTTTAAATATCTTAGTATGATGAGGTAAACCTTTGGGTTTTTTTAATGGGACAACCCCGCCACAGCCTCCCAAAACCGCTGCAACTCCTCTAAGCCAGGATCTACAGTAGATACAACTATGAAAACACTGAAACAAAGTTCGGCCCGTCCCAGGGACATGAATAACTGTCTTGGATGACCTTTTCAATTCCATTCTAAAATCTTTAATTCTTACATTCTAAAAGGTTTACCAGCAATTCGCCATTATTATGATTAATGCTATTGTAATATTAGATAAGCCTTTTTTGTTAGGATGGAATATCATTAAATGACTCCTCCCACATTCATTGTTACTATAAGACACAAGACGTCCACCACTGAATATGTCTTACACATCAACCGGGAGTAAGCGTCCTACAGCGACACCTAGCAGCTCCCCATATATAATACCTGATGTCAAATTAACTGTCCGCTAGACAAATGGCATGTACGTTCAAGATAAATATTTCATAAGCTAATGTCACGTTGATTTCTATTCAACTAACGATGCCATTAGTCTAATAAGATTGAGCTGCCATTTTGTCTGTGTCAATAGAAATGTGTCCAAAGTAACATTTGATAAGTATTACACTTGTTCATTCGACTGTACCGTACAGTACAGTACAGTCGCACAAAGTACCACGCAACGCGAGCTCGAGACAACCCGACACCATAATATAATAAATTATCAGATACGCAACTTTCCGAATCGTAATTTGAAAACTGTATCTTAATTCCGTTACATAAGGCCTCTTTTAAAAAATTATAGTGTCGAAACTGTTTGAAAACTATAGCTGGAAGCTGCTATTCTTTTGTCTCAATAAAGCTTTAGTGAAGATACAGGCGGGACTAACTTCATTGGTCCCTTTCACAATCTGTTGACCTTAATATTTCTCAGATTCCAAACTACGATTCGAACGAGCGATCTCAACATCTATCTCGGTCATCAGCTCTAAGGCAAACCGTTACGAATAATTATCACACTTATTTATAATCTATGGTCGAAAAACGGCAATAACCGGGCAGTATATTTCCTTAACAACGACGAAAAAATACAAGAAATTATTTAAAATAAAAATTATTTGTACCATTCTCCGTTTTGGCGTAACTAGGAATCGCGATTCAATGGCAATCAAAGTTTTAAAAGGAAGCCCTAAAGGATTATATCGAAGACATCATTTAAAAAAACTAGTTGAAATTAACTCGAGATAGTGTTAACAATATAACGACCAATAAAGATATCGTAAACAACAACAAACAACACTTCAACTCTACAAACAATAGTTACCCATGTACACCAACAAATACCGTATAATAAAAAAAAATATCTATCAAAGCTTACTTTTAACAAGCAGATCTTTGCAATAAGATTCGACAGCAACTTGCTTGACAACAATAATCACAAAAAACGCGAGTCAATCATGCCTAAACCCCTTAAATAAACGACCCCCTTCCCCCTTACCCCCTTCCTAGTTACGTCACAACGTGTCACGTGTGTGTGTACAGAGTAGCGTGTGTGTGTGTGTGCTCACTTGGTGGTCATGTCCGGCCAGTAGTTGATGTAGTAGCGATGAGTGCTGCCCTCGAACAGACGGTCCAGCCAGTTCTCCAGCCCGTCTAGCAGGTTCTCTGTTGATGGTACAACGTCTGGTTTAATTTTAGCCAAAAATAAAAAAGGGTAGCGAACCTAGTGCCACAGAATGGTAGCCATTACTAAGATGAATTTCTAGTATTTAAAATTAGAAGACATATCAATTATGATGTTTTTCTAAACACGAAAATCAACTAGAGTGGTGGGTAAAACATCTAAATTTTCATATTATTTTACAGAAAAATAGAGCATTGTGTACCTTGCATGAGTACGGGCGGGTCTGTGGCCTCGTCTGCCGATGAAGAGTCGGGCGAGGTGTGGAACCCGATGAAGGCGCCCGCCTCGGGGTCAAACGTACCCGTCTCACCTAGAGACCGCGTCATGCGACTCATACGCTAGAACCAAATGTGAATAATATTTAATGATGTTTCATCATTATTGGTGCAGAAGTTTATTATTTCAGTGTTAACATATAAAAAGTTTGTACTTGAGTATTTTTATTTGTCGTTATGTTCTACCAGAGACCCAATTACGCCCAATCCCTAAAAGATCTATTATAGGTTTCTCCAATTCCCGAATCCTTAAAAATCCTCAAATTCCTAAATGCTGGCAATGCACTTGTATCGCCTATAATTTTTGGATTTCTATGGGCGCTGCCGATTGCTCGTTCGTGTACAGACTTATCTCCAACAAAAAAAAGCGTTGTTACAAAAAGGTTTTTAAGATAAGATGTGTCGTGGTAGCCCGGAGGTTTAAGACGCCTAGCTCTCATGCATGAGGGTGCGGGTTCGAAACCTACCGACGGCAAGTACCAATGTGACTTTTTCCGAGTTATATGTACTTTCTAAGATTATCTAGACACCACTGACAAACGGTGAAGGAAAAACATCGTGAGGAAACCTGGGCTTATAATTTCTAATTATAAGTTTGAAATCGCCAATCCGCATTGAGCAAGCGTGGTGATAAACGCTTAAACCTTCTCCGTGTGAGAAGAGGCTTTGTTCAGTGGGCATATAGGCTGTTGAGGATGATGAAGATAAGATAGGTCATAAATCATAATAGAACAGTACCTTGTGTGGCTTGGTACACTCGGGGTGCTTGGCGTGGTAGATGCAGAAGTACTTGCGGTGCGGGTTGAGCGCCAGCACGGTGCCGACGCAGTTGCGCGCGTTGAGGCGCAGCTCGGCGCCGCCCAGCGACAGCTGCAGCACGCGCGCGAACCAGCCCGCGTGCCGCTCCACGCACAGGTACGCGAACACCAGCGTCTTGTTCCTGGCAACCCACCTCGGTCACGGCTCCACTTCTAATGCGATACATCTAACCTCGCCTTCGGGGGAGGCTACGGCTAAGGCTAAGGGCGCCAGAATCTTACGGCTTCGAGCCGGGGTCGCGGTAACTTGAGGCTTTCCCCAAATTATGCGCGCGAGTTTCTTGGGAATGAGCGACGCGGCCGCCGTCAGTCTAAGGCGACTTTACCCGGACCCAGATAGAAACTTCATTCATAAAAAAAATCATTTTCAAATACTCAGTAACAGAGATATGTTCACTTGAAATGAGATGAGAGAGAGAGAGAGAGAGATGACAAATACTCACTTGCGATAGGGCCACACAATCTTATGGAACTTGGAGAGCAGTTGCACGCGACTCTGCATGTCTACCAGCAACACGATCGTCCGACAGCCAGGCTTTAACAGTCTGTTAGAACAAGATTGTCATTACTTAACGTTGGGTCATTACTTAGTGTGAACTTGGCTACTTCCTTATCAGATTTTACTGCTACACCAGACATTTTACGAATACAACATCCCAAATTATGGAGTTATTATTAAGAAGACTTACGACCGCTTTCACTACTAGTTACTTAGCGAAACGTAGCCTAAACTAACTCCTTACCGTGAGGTGACACTTATACATTATCGAAGATAAAAAATGTCGTTAAATGTCACTTAGAGAGTTCCTTAAAATTGAAGAAAGATTTGTAAAAACGCGCTAAACAATTTTTAGACAAGTTCTGTCTGGACAAGCTATTATATTGGCATTATCAGAAAATCATTACAAAACATATCGTTACGTAGGAAGCGCATGCGATACATACCTCACCAGTCCATTATACTTCTCGGCCCTCAACTCGTGGAGTCTGAGTTCAGAGCTCGGCTCGTTATTGTTCTTCTTGCCCACTCCGTTCTGTTTCTTCCTCTCTTCCTTCTGCCGCTGCACTGACTCCTCTTCTACACGTCTGTTGATAGTCAAAGCAGATATTTAATTTCGCAAGTTAATTAGGCGGTTTTTCAAGTCTATAAATTGGGTTTATACAGTAAAAATGCAAATATTGAGCTAAAGTGATTTAAACGTTACTTATATGCATTTCCTCTATGATCATAATTATACTGTAGTGATAAAGCGTTTAACATTAAAAGGGATTCGTGACGTGTATAATGTATTTTCTTTTTCATGAACCAATGGCTGTTCCTGCCTTGGGTACGGCAAGATCCCCGTTTCTACTCCTGCCTCTCGAGCCGGAGCCTCGGTAACTCGAGGTCATTGGGCCCCATCTTTATTTATACTTGATAGGTTGACGTTTGGCCATGTATAGTGGTCTGCGGTCTGGTGGAGCGCACAACTCAACGCATTGTACACTATCTGGTTCTGGTCGGACGGCGAGCTACCTTAGCTCGCTTGATAGTAGTGGCGGAGTGTTGGGTACAGAGTGAATAGTTACATGAGGTACGCCATGAGGTAGCCGGCGGCGAGCACGGTGGCGACGGTGGCGAGCACGGAGAGCGCGGACAGCGCGCGCTGCGAGCGCAGGCCGTTGATAGTAGTGGCGGAGTGTTGGGTACAGAGTGAATAGTTACATGAGGTACGCCATGAGGTAGCCGGCGGCGAGCACGGTGGCGACGGTGGCGAGCACGGAGAGCGCGGACAGCGCGCGCTGCGAGCGCAGGCCGTTGATAGTAGTGGCGGAGTGTTGGGTACAGAGTGAATAGTTACATGAGGTACGCCATGAGGTAGCCGGCGGCGAGCACGGTGGCGACGGTGGCGAGCACGGAGAGCGCGGACAGCGCGCGCTGCGAGCGCAGGCCGTTGATAGTAGTGGCGGAGTGTTGGGAGGTCTGCGGTCTGGTGGAGCGCACAACTCAACGCATTGTACACTATCTGGTTCTGGTCGGACGGCGAGCTACCTTAGCTCGCTTGATAGTAGTGGCGGAGTGTTGGGTACAGAGTGAATAGTTACATGAGGTACGCCATGAGGTAGCCGGCGGCGAGCACGGTGGCGACGGTGGCGAGCACGGAGAGCGCGGACAGCGCGCGCTGCGAGCGCAGGCCGTGCGCGGCGCGCTCGCCCCACTCGCACAGCGCCAGCACGCCGCGCCACACCGCGCCCAGCGCCGCCTCGTCCAGCAACTCCTGCACAGGATGGGGATAGTACGGTCACATAACATGGACAGCCTATATAACTATATACATTTTACGTGCTCTGCTTGTAGAACTTCTATACCATTAAGTGTAACTGGGGGACATGTAACTCCCCTTAACGTGATTGTGACATTAACGGACTTGGTTTCGTTGGCCTTTATCCGCCACTTCTTGAGCCATTCAGATATATCATCAAGTCCCCTTTGCAATGTTTTTGAAGCAATAATTGAATCGGTATGTGCAGTTAGTATGGCGGTATCGTCAGCAAAGGTACCTGTAGTTAGGCATCGAGGTGTGGGTGGGGTGTAGGTCCGCGGTAAAAATTATATAAAATACGGGGTCCCAGTACGCTGCCCTGAGGAACTCCGATCTTTATGGGTGATAAAGTAAACATTGCCTCTCCACTCTCCACGATAAAGTGACACTGGTTTAAGAACGATTTTAGTATTTCGTACAAGTAGTTGGGTAGAGCGTTTTTTATTTTGAACAGGAGGCCCTTGTGCCGCACACGATCAAACGCTTGTGATATATCCAGAAATGTACTGGTGCAGTAGCTTTTTTGTTCAGTCGATGTACTTGGTCAATGGTGACATGACAAAACTTGGCATGGTCAGGGATCAGTTTTTTGTCATCTAATAGTACGCTGCTGACGCTAGTATTCGCTGCAAAAGTAGTGTAGTGTTTCGTATAGTTTTGAAAGAATAGGTAGCAAGCTTATTGGCCTATATGATTTTGCTTCCTCCGATGGTTTATCTTGCATGAATCTGAATGTAATCTTGTAATAGCGATGTAAGAAAAATTATTCCAGATTTTGGTAACTCTTGTAAAATGCGATTGGTTATTAGGTCATATCCTGGTGATTTTTTGGGATTTAATTTTCTAATCACATTGATGACTTCCGTTTTGGTGAATTTAACTGGCAATTCCACTATAGTATCCGGAGAGCCAAGCATTTCATCGACCTCTTTTGTATGGTCTAATGTTCCAGCATATGGATGAGGTGTAAAAACTTTCGAGAGATGTTCTAAGAAAGTAGCTTTGACCAGATCTGTTCGAGCCCAGGTTCCATCCGCTTTCCTAGTGGAGGAGAAAAAGTCACAGACCGTTTGAATTTTTTTTGGTAGCTTTCCACAACGAGTATCCTGAAGAAGCAGTAGCGTCGTAGCGTAGAAAGTACATATAACTCGGAAAAAGTAACATTGATACTTGCTGTTGGTAGGTTTCGAACCAACGGACCACCACGACACTCAATATTAGGATAATATTTTTTTTAAATAATAAATTATAGTTAATAACCAAGTTAATAATTAATGCAATATGCAATATACTAGATGATAATTTAGTTATGCATAAGTTAAACTGCTGCGCCCTAACAGGGTCATTGTTCTGTACTAATAGCATGTAACACCCATACGTATTTACATTGTCAAATAAACAAATAATTTATCAATTCCGCTATCAATGCTAATTAAAATAGTAATTACAACCAACCTGCACATGAGCTTCATACGCCATCACCTCAGTCGGTTTCAACAACCTCTTGATGAGCTGGTCAAGCGCTCGCTTTGTCTCATTCAGTCTCTCGTGGTACTTCAATAACTCCTCCCTCAGGACGGGGTCCGACGGGAAGTGGTCGGAGGAGCAGTGCGCGTGGTTGCAACTCGGCCACGTCTCGTTCAACCACTCATATTGGATCCGCGTGGCTTCACGACGCCAGATGATGACGATACGATGTTCCATCTCCGATATGTCGCTGCCTGTTAAGTTTGTTGCTGATCAAAATTTGGTCCAGACTTAAATTAACGTTTAGTAACGTAAAAGGTTCTTAAAGGAACTTTATTAATTTTAGATCTCCATTATTACTTTCAATTGACACACAAATAGTTTTTTTGTGTTTAGCTATCAAACGGTTAGGTTGCATATAGACTTTAAACATTTACGGTAAGTGATTGCGTAGAGGTATCTAGTAGTTAGATGTCGACTTACCGGATCCGTTAGCGATGGCATGTATGAAGGCAGGTTGTTTGTGCGCGTAGACGTACGCGTAGTGCAGCCTGTCGGAGGAGGCGCGCGCCAGGTCCCGCAGCGCGCGGCGCGCGGCGGCGGCGGGCGAGCGCGCGCCCCTGCCAAGTGCACCCCCCACCGTCCCCGCCCCCCGCGCCCCCGCACACCAGCACGCAGCACAGGCGGCGCCGCGCCGCGCGCCACTCCACCGGACACACGCTCTCAAACACACTCTGGACACGACACATTCTACATCACTGCTTCTGTACTCACTTGCAATTATATTTCTGCTGTAGGCTGTACACAGTACAGTAGCGTACGCCAGTTTCCAAGACGCGAAAACGAGGATAATATTATGCGAACGCATGCATGCATGCTATTGGAATATGACTTACTATTTATTTATTTATTTATTCTTTTATGTACACAATTTTATTATGGCGAACTTAATGCCATATGGCATTCTCTACCAGTCAGGCAGTCAACAGGTTTAAGTAGAACATCAGCGAAAAATAAGGTACGGAGAATACACTATTATTATTTATATTAGTATTATTCCATTCATTTATTTAATAATTTACGATTACGTTTACATTAAAATCTCTGACTTACCTATATACTAAACTGATAATTAAGGAAGTTGTAAATCTTCCTCAAACGAATGCATTTGTCAATATTAATTTCTTCGTCACACAAGAAAAAGCCTTTGCCCTGCACTGGGACACTTCAGAGACAAAGTTATGTTTCTTCTACCTTATCCTATCTTACCTGCGAGGACAGCCTCGGCAGTGTGAGCATCTGATTAGCCTCGATGAGTTGGTGCAGTGTCTCGGAGGGTATCTCGTTGGTGCTGACGGTGGCGGCCGGCTCCTCGCTGTCCTCCTTGAGCAATACCATGGTGTCGGTGTGTCGCTGCACCTTGTACCGAGCTGTCACGTTCAACGTGTCGCGGGATCGCATGTCTACGAAACTACAATACAAAAAGCGAAATTGTGAACTACAATTTGACTGTCATCTGAATGGATTTATTGAAGTTTTTTGTGGGATACAAGCCGGTAAACGAGCTGACTGATCACCTGATGGTAAGCAATCGGCGCCGCCCATGGATTACCGAAACACCAGAGGCGTTATAAGTGCGTTACTAGCCCTTTAGAGATTGGGAATTTGAGGATTGTTGGGGATTCGGGGATTAGGTAAATTCAGGAGGGGGTCGTTGGGCCTCCGGTACATTATAAAATTACCTGAAATATCGCTTGGAACAGTACTATTGCAGAGTGCAAGTAACAAAGGATTTTTTATATCTTGGAATTTGCTTTCCTACCAATTTTGCTTTTCATATTTGTGTAAAGAAAAACGTATTTTAAATTTTGCTACATAAGACTTCACTTACCCAAAAGCGACTCTATCTCTATAGTGGAATGCAGTGATGAGGTATCTGAAGCGCATGGTCTGCCGCTCCTCGAAGATCAGCGCCTTCACTTTATTGTCCTCGAAGTCCGACACGAACCCGTCCACGTTGCTGTCCGATATCGTACTTACCAATTTGTAAGGGAATTTCCAACGAATGAACTCTGTGTACAAAGACATAAGGTTCAATGTTACATATAAACATAGATTTAACAAAAATAAAGAAGTTGTTCTTCTTCCTGCCAATATTACAAGTTACTCGGGCCTAGGCCTAGGGTTGGTTGGAGATGACATTCGTTAACGATTTCTGTTCATCTTTAATTTGTTCGTCCTCTCGTATTTAAATACATCAACTCTACCAAACGATTTTCAACCGTAATAAAAGTACGAATCATATTTAACTCACCTAAAATTTTAGGTAGCGAAGATAGGGGCTCCTTATACATATATACATGTTTGTCTAATATGAACGTAAGGCAGGGTACTCCATGTACGCCTACTCGGCGGGCCAGGCTGGCCTCGTGGCCCGCGTGCACGGTTGCCATGGTGACGCCGACCGGCTGCAGAGCTTCCACCAGGCGGCGCCAGGCGGCGGCTGAGCGCACACACTCGAAACACCAGTCCGTGTAAAATAGGACTATTGCTGGCGTACGAATGCTTTTCTCGATTATATTGTTATCGAAGTGGCTGTAAGTAAAAATTGACATTATTGTCAGTTCACTAATGAACAAAGGCCTGCCTCTATAGACGGGGTTCGTCTTTTAGGATTACTGAATCAGATTGTGTAGTTACTTACGCTTTTGGTAGGCTTAATTACACTTACCGCGCCGTTATAGACAATTTGTGGAATAACGTAATATCTTGGTCTTGTGTTCGATAGTATTTCTCCATGAGCTCATCATACGGATCGTTACTGTAACCAAATAATAATTTATAGAAAGACGAGTGTGGGACGTCAATAAAGGGCGACACTATAGACCATAATTAAAAGTAATCTCATCGAGTACATTAAATCAGGGAGAAATTGATGAATGTGAAAAACCATTAATGCTTACTCTAATACAATCAAAACCTAAAAGCAACTTTATTTCTTATTGACAAGACTGATTTCTGCATGAATGTTACAAACTGTGAATTATTTTCACCTTGACCGAAAACAAATTGCATATTGTTTTAGTCGTTTGCAAACATCATTGAACACTGGCATGCAATAACAATCGACAAGGAAAATTATGTTTATTTTTATCTTCTACTCATCATTTCCCAACAGATCGGACGTAGGGAAATTCCAAAATAATATTGCTTCATAAAACCTTTGTGTAGGTACTTAAGTGTCGTGAATTATGAATTTACTTTAATAAGTACATAGTATCTAGTGCCTACTCCTTGCTGTCAGGTGTTAGTGCATAAGGTGTCCATGTTTTTTTTTATTAAGATATATTTTTTTTTATTATATATTTTATCCGGTAAATGAGCAAACGGAGTACCTGATGGTAAGTAATCTCTCTCATCTCTCATCTCTTGGAGACCCGAAACACTACGAGGCGTAACAAGTGCGTTACCGGCCTTTTAGGAATTCCTCAAATTTATTTGAGGATTGCTAGCCATTCAGGGATTGGGGAGATTGGGGAGGGGGGTAATTGGGTCTCCAATAACCTTACGCACACGGCCATTCATGACGAAGCATGGCTCTCTTACACTTAAATATAACATAACATAATATCACGCCTTTTATCCCCGAAGGGGTAGCAGAGGTGCACATTATGCCACTGTACAATTTGACACCCACTTCTCACTATTTATGTTATGAGTCCCATGTAATAGGGGGTGAGCCTATTGCCATATACCGGGCTTAATTCCAGACTCTTGTGTTTCGTTTCAATGCTTGCGGTGTGTTTCGTTGTGTGAGTGAGGTTACCAGAGGCCCAATTACCCTCCCCTTCCTCAATCTCCCCAATCCCTGAATCCCCAACGATCCTCAAGCTTCTAATCCCCAAAAAGCCGGTAACGCACTTGTAACGCCTCTGGTGTTCCAGGTGTGCATGGGCGACGCCGATTGCTTACCATCAATCAGGTGATCCGTATGCTCGTTTACCGGCTTATGCCATTAAAAAAAAGACTCCGTGGTACTACTGAGAATTTTTAAAAACCCAGTACCTAATACTTTCCTCGATCCGGGAATCGAACCTGAGACCCCTTGCCCGGCATTCGCACTTGCGACCACTCGGCTTAAATATATTATTATTAAATTGGAAAGATTGGGGTTCTTTTGATAGGTATAAATGTGGTATATATGGAGTTATTGAAGATCGTAAAACTATTTATGGATATCCCAGGAAACCGTAAACATGAGTGATTCATGATGAAAGATTGCGAATCTTGTAAGGGCCGTGTTGAAAAACATTTTCATGAATCATGGATTGCTATGCAGATAGAATATGCATGTATTTTCAAATATATTTTGATATATTACATTTAACTTATATAGGCAATTATTTTGACTTATGTATACTCCAATTTGTTAGAGAATTCTACACAAACTACGAATTGCCAGATAGCATAATCAAATTTGGCAAATCCATTGAATAACATTTACATTTTTCTACACATTTTATTTATGGAACATTAAAGTTCTGAGATATTATTCTACCCCAAGTTGTTGTTTAGTCCATGATACCAGTACTCAGTAAATTTGATGTATAACAGTATACTTAACTCGTCGAGTGCCGTCATTATAGACACAATTATAGATCAATAGGTTGCGGTCACCGGTGACCGCTTGGTGTTTGACAGTTTAAGCATTGATTGTTCCTATGTAAAAAGTAGTTGATAAAACACAATCATTTAGTTAAAAATAGACAAGTATTCTTTTGAAATTTGAATGCATGCTAGATATTTAGAATACTAAATTGTATCCTTCTATTGCCAGTCAGAGTTGGAGAATGATACAAAACATCTGACTGTAAACAGCTGTTCCATTTCATGAGTAAAGATTTTATAGAATCTCAAAAATCTCTTCCGGATGTTTTCTTATGTCTATGCATCCAGTCATGTGTGTGTGTGCTGATTCATGAATATATTTTTTCATTATTATAGAAGCTAAGGAATGTTTAACCTCTTTTGAAAGTTGCGGGTATAATGTGGTTTACACTGGGAGCCGGTGTTTCAACAGATAAAAGGTTAATCCATAGTGAATAATTTAGTATCCAATCATATAGAGTAAAAAAAAATGTTTCATATTAAGCAGATACAAATAAGAATATTAAGTATATTTATTATTAATATTTCCAAAATCTTTAGTCAAAAACTAGAATTAAAAAAGAAAATACAAAACTTACCTAAATCTAGCATATTGGCTGTAATCATGCCTCTGTTTATATAGGTAGTCGTCTTCGTTCGTAATGCCATAGTAATCATATGCCTGTCTTCGCTCAGTGTCTGTCAACAGTTCGTATGCTTGTTTGATCTCTACAAAACGAGCTGCCGCATTTGGATGCTCGTTTTTATCAGGGTGCCTGTAATACAGCATTAATTATGTTCAAAGTCTATAAGAAACCACAGTAGAGCATATGGTCTGAGTATAATTGATTACTGAACTCTGCACTACTTACAAAGAGAACTTGAATTGCATTACTACGAGCCAAAATACATCATCAAAATAATATGAACTAGAACAGTATGTATTAGCTCTAAAGCTTTATTTTCTAGACAGGAAATAGCAAGTTCATACTATATATTATTACACTTACCACTCCTTAGCGAGTTGCCTGTAAGCTTTGCGTATTTCAGGTAATTTAGCCTTGGGGTGTATGCCCAATATTTTGTATGGGTCACCGATTTTCTGGGCCGCTAGTAATGGGCACAATGCGAGCACCAACACCGCCCACAGCCATCGCCCTTTCCATCCCTTGTATTTCCATTGCATATTACCAAACAGTTTCTTTAACAACCCTGCCGAATAAAACCTTCGTGATCTTCAAGATAACTTTCATAGCAAAATCCTACCCGCGGCAATGGAACACATGACTGATGTATGTGACTTTAACACGGAATACTCAAAAACTGTTATCAGTCATTTGTCTTAAAATAGAACGGCTGAAAATTCGTGAAATTCTAAAATCTCACAAAAATTACAAAATGTCAATTGGACTAAACCACAGTCAATCCTTGTTGTTTTTCTGCGCAACTAGCAAAGACAAAGTACAGTCAGTGTAGAATTAATCAATAAAAACTTAATTTATAATTTAGTTTACTCGAATATGTGTAATTTTTGGTCTAGAATATATTTCCTAGTAAATTTAGATATCCTTCGATGTACCTTTTGCTAGAATATAAAAGATTAGAAAGGTAATCAAAATCAATCTCGGTTCCAAACGAAGTCAATAATATAAAAATAATCTACGGTATAATTTTATTTCATAATTACTATAAATCAATGTTCTAAAATTGCCGTATATTTATCACACTCTTCTATGAAACGAATACTGAAAAGCTGAAAATATTCCTTTAAGTTTCTAATAGGAATTTTGAGGAAATCTATTGTTCCATAAACGTCCTTTTACGAAGAAAGCTTTTGAATAAACTAAAGCTAAAACTATGATTCTGACAACGGTGACAGTAGCAAAGTCAAAGTCAACCCACGTCATGTACGGATTACCCGGCTGTCAAATATCCAATGTCACTTTTTTCACACTTGATTCCGTTTGAGTTCAGTTTAGTAATTTATGCTACGTGGGTGGTTGTGTTGTGGATTATTCAGTTATTCTTATTTATATCCCAGCGTAAGAAACAAGTAATATACTAGTTGATTAATTCTTCTTAAAGTTTCAAAAAGTGAGTACTCATATTTCTTAATTTTTTGGTTATATGGTCTTTTAAGGTATTATTAAAATTAAGTATTTATCTGCTATTGTCGTGTTTGCATTGTATGTGATCCCCTGGTAGGACGAAACGTAATATGTTATACAGAAAACAAGGTAAACAAGTTTTAATTTAGAAATATTACTTTTTATTTGCCTTGAAGGAAGACACTAAACTTTTTTCCACATTACTTTTAGTTTACATTTTAATTCAGATGGAATAATTCTTATTATTAATCAAGTTTGAAGATAGATACCACTAGTTACTACTTCCTGAATATTTGTCAAACATTTTAAAATAAATTTGAATAGAATAAGAATAAGAATGTATATTTGCATGTAGTATGGTAATATTATGCATAAATATCTCTAAATGGTAATCCATCATTGTGATTTAATTATCCTGTTTTTTTTATAGAAATAAATTTTATAGTGCCATTGCTTTGCAATTTTCAATTGCAAACCAAATTACAAACCTTAAAATCTAAATCTTAAAATCTTATTTAACACTTCAACTCTCTATAGTTACAACTGAATGTAAGAGGTAATTATAAATAATTCTTAATTCAGTAATCAATTATTCAGTACCTTATTTTCTAAATATAATGTACCTACAATAATAATAAAAAGTCACAAATGAAGGTTGTAAACTAACAGGCTATTGTAACATTATTTAATTAAAATTTTAAAATGTATGCAGTAAAATAAATAAAAGAAATTTTAAAACATTTTTGGCTTGTTACTATGAACTAATCAATCAAAGGGCTGAACGCTGTCGCATTTCAATCTCGTTAAGTAAAACTAACTCACATTAGCCCTGTTTAGTTGTTTTTGTGTAAAGGACTAACAAATATTCAAGTGCATTCTTACAAACTTTGTCTATATGTGTCTATAATGACGGTACTCAACTAGTTAAGTACCTATAACCAGTACTAAACTTACTGAAACCTTGAGTAATTATTTATTTCAATTACTCAAAGAAACATTACTTGAAAGATGTGTTCTAATTATTTCAATATGATGTGTCAAATTATTTTTAACATGTTCCCTACCACCGCGGTCAATGTTGTCCGATGTTAGCGAAGGATTTGCCTTCAACGGTTTGCGGTAAAAAGCTTAATAGCAAGTAAAATAAGGTATATAATATAATATAATGTCTTCTGCCTGAAACTGAATCTAAATCTAAATGGAATATTTATATTATTTTGGGCAGTTTTATTGTGCTACGTTCTTTCTAACATGTTTTCTATCTCTATGCTAAGTTTCATCAATTTTCTTTTGTTTTTTTAAACAAACCATTGCCCACTCTAGGTTTCGTGGGTTTCGTGGGTGCGTTTACCAACATACATGTTCACATGCACATGATACCTAGACCTGCAATAACAATTTGTAGATAACACAAAAAATTGCTTTGCGCGGGAATCGAACCCCGCTAGACGTTCCGTGGCAGCTAATTGCCCAGCCACCGCACCACCCGTGCAGTCAGGGTGATTCAGTAGTTTATATATGAAAGAGAAACAGACTCAAACAAGGTCATTCTCATTTTTTGTAATATGCTAAAGACTTGGATTCTGCTTCCATTTGTTACTTATTGGTAATAAGAGAACAGCGAGTAATTCGGTTTTGGTCAAACATTCAAATTATTTATTTTCAGCCATGATCGTCCTACTGCAGGGCAGTGGAAGGAGGGTAGGGCGGCCTTTGCCCTGCAGTGGGACATATTGAAAGCATCCATTAAAATAATGATGTTGACATGTTATCATTCAAGTTTGTGTGCACAGCTTGTAACTAATTTGACTGTTTGTGAGTTGTCGTCAGAGATCATTGTTGTTACAATATTACCCACCTTATTTTACATACGTACCATAACCATACTCTTATTTTACCTACCGTTAATCTTTTTTTTAATGGCTTTTGAGTCTCCACTGCTTAGTAGTTGACTATTCTGCCAGCGTCATGTGGTACGGCAGGTGTATGGTACCGTCGTACTTTATTCACTTCATTAAGCCTTTTATTGCCAACTGTAGAAGGTATACCTACGTAAGTGAAGCGAATGTGAGTACCAATACAAACCAGCTGTGGATTAACTCCAAGCAAAACACCAAGCGGTCACCGGTGACCCCAAACTTTTGTTCTATAATTGTGGCTATAATGATGGTACTCAACGAGTTAATGGTGCAAAAAATAGTTTAAAACCGTAATGTAATGTAATAATATATAAATAAAAAAAAAAGGATTATAGGACACCTTGACAGCAACATATGGATATAGTATTATTAGATAATTTAACATAATATGGTGAAACATTCCCAGATAAGATAATTAGCTATCCTTATCTCTAGAGCTCTCATATTATTGCCTATGGTATAATCTTTACTGAGATTGGACTATGATTATTTATATATATATCTTAATAGTCTTTTCAATAAAACTGCTATAATAGTACTAAATTATTTGTACCTAATTGGCATAATTTTTTTATAACTCATGAGATATAACAGTTAAATTAATTATTGTCATTAATTAATTGGCTGTCTGAGAGTCTAACTTATTCACAAAACTGTTCGACGTGGTTTACTCGACTAATTTCAAACTTTAGGGGGGTCCATAATCATGAGCGACATGCGCGACTAACCGCATCGGCAATCGACAAACTGTTAACAAGTGAGTTAGCCGTACAACCTAATTAGCTAAATTAATATATGCATAGCTAAAATTATTTCTTACTACCATTAAGTGACCTTTCACTTTACTGTTAGGCTTGTCACTTGTCAGTAATACAATTCCAAATATTGAACCTTCAGCCTTCGCTATTTGGTACTTTTACTTACTCACTTTGACCTACGTATAGAAAAAACTTATTACCAGTGTTTTGTTTAATGGCATGCCAAGTAATGCCAACGTCCTTAAATGTGTTAGAGAATTCAAAAGAGAGAAAGATTCGAAGTCGTAAGAAGGTCACCTTTATCAGATTGAGTTTCGAGTTCGATTTTGATTAAGATCGTAGTCTTTTTTATCTCAAAAGACTTGTAATAAAAGTTTAGTCCTTCGAGTCCTTTGCAATTTTGACCGTGAAACATTTTCAACAACAGCACCAATGTATGGAAGTTAAATGCTTTGATTTTGATCATGCCCATTGAATCTTTTACACAACCACAGAGTACTGTTGACGACATAAAAGTCATGTAACAGTTGGCGTGCTTTACACTAATTACCGGGCAAAACTCCAAATTCCTGAAAATTTCATAAAACATACCTACTTTCGTTTGTAATTGTGTAATCGACCATGGTTGCGACAATTGGCTCTCTTAATACGTTAGGAAAGTTGAATAAGTTTATTTACCGCTGATTTTGCCGAAGCATTTAACTAGGTACTTTAAATAAACCATATACAAAATCGTCCTTCAGTCAGGACAGTAGTTGAAGCTGCTCATTTCAAAGCGTATGGATGAGAACGCACAACCCGCACAAGAAACTCCAATGGAATAACGAAGTCTGCTTAGGACATCCAACTGCCAACACAATACTTCTACAATGGCCTTGGAATTCTAGTTGCAGATAACTCGTCAATCTCAGTATAGAAATGCTGTTAATGACGAGAAATATTACCGCGGCCTAGATAAAGGAATATTATCCACTAATTAGTTACACTTCAAACAATCCCGATAAGGGTTAGTCAGGGACAAATGTCCAGTTAAATATATGTGGTGGGTGGAGGAGCTCTCATCGTTTGATAAGACCTTAAAATTCACATAATATCTACATTCTACTTGTCTCCCTAACTTAATAGGGCTTGAGCTCCTTAATTCTGCTTCGTAAGTTTTCTATTTACGCTATTTTTGTTGTAATTATCAGTATCAATGACAGAATGTTAATTATGTGTTTATTATAAAACGTGAAGCTGTAATGTGACCTTGAAACACGTTTGAAAATCCGCGACACGACCTTTGTTTGCGTTTTACCAAAGATTATCTTCGTTTTTAGCGAAGATTACTCTTATTTTAGCTAAAAATATGATAAAACGACCAGGTGAATTAAAATGCTAAGTTTTATCAAATGAAGTTTAATGTAATTACCTACCTGTATTTATTTGCTAATAGATTTGTTTTTACAAAAGTCTATGATACGTGCGTAGTGTGACTACATGAGGTGGATGTAGCCGACTATATTCACGTCATATGTTCATAAACAAACTCACGTAGGCACCAAATCAAAACAAAAATATGTAGTAAACTATTTCCTCAACAATCGTTTAGGCTGCAATTGAATCGCCTTCACTTAACAGTCTCTAATGAATCAATTGGCTATGATAGTCGGTGACGTCACAACTACCGGTGGGTGTGCGCATGACGCTCGACCAATTGAGAAGTAATTCGTTACAATATTGTATGTAACTAGTGTAGTGATTGTTTGTTATTCAGCCTATTTGCTATTTGCGAACTATTTAGATGACGACGGGTCACGGACGTGGGGTCCACCCAAAGTCCAAATTACAAAGCCTTAAAGAGTATTAATAGATCACTATTGCTGTCAGATGTAGTTATGAAGCCAATTCATTCATTTTCTTTTAAATTGTTATTCTCTGCATTCAATTTTGATTGGTAATTGATTACCTTTAACTATATTTTCCGGTGGCCATTGCATTGTGGTGATCCAAAATGGCAGTTAAACAGGCACTAATAGTTTACTTCGCTTTTAGGTTTGTCTTACTTAAAAGTCGCGTAAACGAACTACAAATAATTTTAGTTAAAAAGGAATGATATTGCATAAGTCCACGTAAACTGATGAAATCACAGGTTGGATTACTAATGATCTTATCAATCGATCAATAGGGCCTGTCTTAACTAGAAATCGGAAGTCTCGTGCACCTAATATTGATAACAATAGCTTAGGTGTATCTAATGCGATAACGTCAATAAATATGTACAATCATTGGATAATAGTAATGCAATATGGTCAGACGATGAACGAATAAAGTCTGACGAAATATTCACAGTTTCTTGGTTGGTAGGCGATTTTCAAATTCGCAAAGAACATATGACGTCAGCATTGTAATGAGTGCGATGACTTGCTGTTCCGTTCTGTTGAAATTAACATGTACATACATAAGTACATAATGTTTAAAAATACAGTTGAAAACTAACGTGTCAAAATACTGGTGAGCAATGTGCAAATTATCTTGAGATCAGAGTTAAGTTGTATTGGTTAGCAGCAAACAGTGCAGTGCCACCATATGCTGCAAAGATAAAATATAGGTTAAAAATTAAAACAGATTTATCGAGATGTAACCCAGTTTTATTGGACTGGTAAAACCAAGGTTATCAAATGGAATACAAATGCAACTGTATGAAGTCTGTTAGTTTTGACTAGTCACAAAAAGCAACAGCAACTTCTGTCCGGAACCAACTCCAACACAGTTTAAAGTTTAAACATAATCCAATGATTTTATATAATATACGTTGTCTGAAGGTGTTCTGTACATTTTGAAGTTCGAATCTCATCTTCCGATTCATTATTCTTGATTTAGACTGTATTCGTTTTCGCACAATGAGACGGCAATAAATTGTCGAATTGTACATGAATAGTGCGCGGTTTGCCAATAGAGTCGGTAACCTTACTAGCGTATGATTGGCTTTGTCGGTGACTGATTGTTTCTGAGAACAAGAACCGCATTGTAGACTGTGTAATTATTTAAGTACGACTATCATTGATGTACTTCTTACATAGTATATCGTAATTCGTAAAGACTCTAAACGTAGCGTACGTAGCTCTTAAGAGGAATACATCCTCTTAAGAGCTTGGCCTATATTAGTTACAGGTACATAGCTTACATACATACATAACATCACACCTTTTATCCCTGAAGGGGTAGGCAGAGATGCACACAGAAGTAACACCCACTTTTCACTAATTATGTTATGAGTCCCATGTAATAGAGTTAGCCTATTGCCATACACCGGGCACAATTCCAGACTCCGTGCTACTACTGAGATTTCTTTTTTAAAAACCCAGTAATACTTTGCCCGACCCGGGAATCGAACCCGAGACCCCTTGCACGGTAGTCGCAATTGCAACCACTGGGCCAACGAGGCAGACCCAGAGAGGTACATAGTTTGTACGGCTTATATGAAGCCTAAAAAGGTAGGGCCTATTAGCATACATTCAGGATACGAGATTATAATATATGTATTCATCTCTAACTCTATAAATAATTAAACTATACAATGGCCCATTCGCTATAAAAAATGCGTCGTTGACTACACTATGCTTATAGAGTTGTATCAAGGACTTTGAACTCGGTCATTGGTACCAATAAAATGTTATGTAATGATTATGACACTAAAAAAAGAACAATATAGTCGGTAACTAGTCCATGCTACGCAACGCCTAAATTATCGATGTCATTAAATCATGGCTGTTCCGACAGGACGACTTTATAAAAATGTTCCCATTTTTGGGAACTATATAATTGTAACGTCTTGAATCTACATCTCTTTATCGAATTTGGTATGTTAAAACATTAGAAGCAAATAAATTAACCATAATTATCATTTAGGTGGAAAAACTTGCATGATGCTATATTAATACTGACATTTCTTTTGTTCCCAGAACATCATCATGTTGGACGTACTAGCCGATGTACTGCAGCCGTACAAGGAGATCGTAGGGACCATCGCGGCCATCGTAACGGTGGGCCAGATGTTCTCCGGCTCCTTCATCTGCTGGGACATTTACAAGCAGGGCAACACCAGGGGCATTGGGATCATGCCCTTCCTTGGAGGTGTCGTTATGTAAGTACCTGACCTTAACATCTATAATCTGCAGTTTTTGTAGAGAGCTGCATTTCGCTAAGTTCTGTTGTTACCATGTCATTAGGCATTCACATATGCAAATAACACCAGTCATGTTCTCTGAATCTGTAGAAACAGTTAAATAAAATATCTTCTTACTGAAACATTACACATAATAACCAGAATGGCTTTTTGCTCACAGGAGCGTCCTTAACTTGAAGTTCGGTTACATACTTCGCGACGACAAGATGATCCAAGTGAACTTGTTTGGTTTGGCCTTGAATATCATCTATTGCTTGGTTTACTTCAATTATACTCAAGACAAGATGAAGGTTTGGGCTCAGATTGGTCTCGCAGGCGCCTTCTCTGCCGCCCTCATCGCGTACGCACAAATGGAAGACCCCAAGTTGGTTGAGAACAGATTTGGAACTATCATCACTGCGTTCATGTTCTACCTGATCGCCTCACCCTTGTTCGGATTGGTAAGTCTTTTACTTTTGTTATATCACTGCTATAGTGCTGTCCTTACTTTATTGGTATTTAAGGAATTCCTCTAATCTTGCGAGATCGATTAGAAATGTCAGATTTTGTTTGGAACTTCTAATGAAATCAACCTGGTCTGGGACCCATCACTTTATGTGCTCACCAAGAAGCAGTCTTGTGATGTTGAAAATTGATCTGGTACCTCATTCACATATCGACGACGTTTGCTGTATATAATTATGAATGTACGTATAATTTAGATATGCATAATGCGTTCCTCAGCAATTTCTTATATTTCTTATCAATAATTTTTCTAAATCTTTAATCTGGGACCCAAAAGAGCTCATGCCATCTCACCATTGCTAAACAATTTAACGATATAATATTCATCATGGTAGTTATTAGAATGATTAATTACAAAGACTAGTCATGATTATTTCAATAAATCTTATAAGATTAAGTCGATAAACTGAAAGGTGTCGATTGGGTAAAGTCGTAGTTTTGCACAAATGAATGAAGTCAAATTAGACCATTCAGTGTAATGAATTAAGCAATATTTAAATACGTTCTTCGAGTCACGTTTATACTCTGTAGATGTAAACTAGTAATGATAATAATCAAGCAACTAATTACCTGATTATAAACAATGAGTGTACCTCATTTATCTTTACCTCTTTATCTTGCAATTGGTTTCCTATTATACAACGAGCTATATAATTATTCAAATGACACATAACTATTAAACATGAAAGGATGAATGTAGGGACGATTTTCCCTCCTCAATAAAAGGAATGGACATAAAAAGGGAAAACAAGAGAGTGAGAATGCGACGTCTGAAAGAGCAACGTGAAAAAAGACATTGGAGCTCACCCCAAATAACTTTGGATTAGGTCAGATATAATAAGACTATAACAATCACAATGTGTAGGCTTTCGATTTCGACACTCCCACAACATAAGCCTATAATTGACCACTGTTAACCAAAGTCCTTTTTTTGGAAATTATAAGCCCAAATTTCCTCACGATGTTTTTCTGCACCGTTTATTAGTGGTGTCTAGATAATTTCCCCACTCCACATACTTCTAATTATAAAACATTTGATTATTTCTCGTATTTTATTTCATTAGGCTACTCACTGTCTATTGATACTTAAACGTAATGTCTTCCATAATAATTATTATTACGCAACAGTCACGTGCTTGTAACACAGTTTATAATTGTGTTATCTCATATCTGTAATTACAGATACTTCAGGGTCTCAGTTTTAAAAGTCGCGTGTGTATTTATTATTAGTTCCGCTAATAGTACTATCTACGTATGAATTATGATAATGCAGTTTTGTAATAACTATCGTATAATAAACTTTAATAAACTATTACTCACTTATTCTCTTTTGGGGATTGGTCGACTTGTTTCAAGCTATGCCCCAGCAGGGTCCCAACCCTAAATCATGAATCACATACGGGGTGACGCGGCATCGAAATATGAAGTTTGACACTAACGGCCAAAATCAGTACTTGATTTTTGACACAAATACAATAGAGCTGATGTCAAAGAACACATATTTTATTAAATACTTCATGTTTTTGAGCTGCACACTGGACAAGCAACAACTGGAACTAAAATAAATGGGCATAATTAAGTGTGTTGCAAATTATTGACGATAGCAATACTGCATTTGTATGGATGCCATGCCACAATTAGATTAGTTATCGTATTGAGTCTTAAATATGCACATATAATTAAATAATGACTTTCTAATTAGTTCTAGTAATATTATTATTAATGCGTAAGTTTAAATGTGCTCGTTACTCTTTAATCTAATCGAATTCATTGTAGGAACGGGGTGGTTTATAGTCAGTAAGAGTCTGACACTCCTTCCCACCTCACCCAGGCGTAAGAAGTCATTCGACGATTTTTCCCTCTTAAAAAAGCCATGCTTTATAATGGAATGAATCGGAATAATACATAGGAAGAGTACTCTTTAACCTGATACTTACCACTGGCGGAAGCTAGAAGTATAACAACTATAAATAGCTATCTGAGAACAAAACCGCAGATGTAATACATCTTCAATTTATTATTATATCACAAGGTGAGACACAATAGCCGAGATATAAACTGTCATAAAATATTATGCTCGTAAATATGTCCATTATTGTTCATGTCCCCAATGCGTGTTGATCTTTTGTACATTCATACATAGCTGACTTAAGCATAAGATTACGTATGTAGTTGCTTCTAGAGTAGTGTAGACTGATGATTTGATTCACGCTAATCTTCTACCGTATACCAGGCCAATTCTAGACACCGTCCAGTAGCAATTGATAGTTTCGAAATAAAAAAAAACCCAATTCGGAGTTGAGAATTGAACTTGAATCACGTGTGAAGCTGCTAGTAGCAATCTAGTTTATTTTCCCAGTTTCCAAAAAATAACGATTTCTTTTTATCTAAACTACTTAGGTACCTAGTACCTACTTACTTTTCAGTTCAGTTAGGTCGTTAAATTATATTATCAGTACGTGTTTAATGCCTCCTAATTACAATAATAAAATAGATATAAAATGAAGCAAATATAATAAGTCAATGACCTCGGTGTATACTTGACCTCATTTGTTTTATGACACGTTTGCAATGTGAATGGAAAGAATAATATAATAAAAATATTATTATTAGAGTTAACACATGTATAGGCAAGTAATTGAAACGACTGTATTGCTAGCTGAGAGCTAGGGAACTTCAAATGTATGCCGCAATGTAATTTAGGCCGCTGGTCAGCTAGTATTGTAATTATAAAACTACTAGCTTCTACCCGCGACTTCGTACGCATAATCCCATTTTTTCCCGTCCCCGTTCGTGAAAAGTAAAAAAAAAATTTGGTTAAAAAGTATCCTATGTCCGTCTCCTGGCTCTAAGCTACCTCCCTACCAATTTTCAGCCAAATCTGTTCTGCCAATCTTGAGTTATAAGTGGTGTAACTAACACGACTTTCTTTTATATATATAGATTACTTTGCATTATCTTTTCTATATTTACGTAGCAAACCTGTGATAAAAACTGATAAAAAAATAATTCTAATTTTCCATTTAATAAATCTTGTAACAATTTAAAATATATTCAATTATTTATGTATTACATTACAGAGAGACATAATCAAGAACAAGAGCACGGAGGGCATGCCGTTCCCCATCATCCTGTCGGGGTCCATCGTCACCTTTATGTGGCTGCTGTACGGCATCATACTCAGGAACAAGTTCCTACTCGTAAGTATCATGTATTATGTTTATATTAAAACTTTCGTGGAGAGTTCCTCGTCAAACGGTTACGTGAGTGAGTCGGAACATATTTAATTCATCATCATCACAACATCACGCCTTTTACCCCCGAAGGGGTAGGCAGAGGTGTACAATATGCCACTGTACAATGCAACACCCACTTTTCACTATTTGTATTATGAGTCCCACGTAATAGGGGGTGAGCCTATTGCCATATACCGGGTACAATTCTAGACTCCGTGCTACTACTGTGATTTTTTTGAAAAACCAAGTAATACTTTGCCCTACCCGGGAATCGAACCCGAGACCCCTTGCCCGGCAGTCGCACTTGCGACCACTCGGCTAATGAGGCAGTCATATTTAATTATCATGTATTAATATTGAACTTCATTTTGTTTATTTAATCTATATCCCATCACAGTTATATTGTGATGATGAGGGAACTTTCAAATAAGGATTTTGAGTAGATCAAGTAAAGGCCGATTTTTCAATCAACAGTTAATTCTTAACGGAAGAATAAAATTGGCATTAGACAGTTTTTAGTATGGTATTGTCAAATATTCAAAGTTATTCCTCTGATAAAATTAAAGTGGCGTTGAAATAATCGGCCTTAAGGAGTTTGGTATTCTTACCTCACTAAAACTACCCTGGAGGCCTCCGTAGATACCTAGCTGGAGCACCAGGTCCTTCCTCTACTAGTTCCTAGCTTTCACCCCACTGTACAGCGCCTGTTATGTGTGATAAAAGGCTCATTATAGGGTTCTTCAAAATATCAATCAATATAAATCAGCCTAGTATTCTCACCTTACAGACATCATGCTATCACAACCCCTTTTTCTTTTTTATTGTTTAATCTAACTTTCCTTTGGTAATTTCACTACTTTCTTACTTTTTTAACCATCTACCTTTAAAAGTGAAAATTCGTTCGTCTTTGACGTCGATGCGGACGAATTTTTTGATGCTATGTGTAAATATTCATTTTTAGTTTTCTTTTATTCAATTTTCTCTATTAGTGGTATTTGGTATAAAATAGAACTTTATTAACTTTATAATAATAAAGTTTATTTTAACCTGTGTGTACATATTAGTGTATTTCTTTATTTTTATAACTATTTTAGTCAAACTCAAACTCAAAAGCATTTATTTCAATTAAACCGTCAAACACCAAGCGGTCATCGGTGACCGCAACCTATTGTTCTATAATTGTGTCTATAATGACGGTACTCGACGAGTACCATAAGTTGGTACTTTTGAAACGTCAACAAATCAATACATAGTATAAAACAAAGTCGCTTTCGCTGTATGTCCGTATGTATGCTTCAGGGGCGTGCACAGAGATTTGAAGTAGGGTAGGCAGAAGGTATCACATGATTAAAAAAAAATTTAAAAATTTAAAATCATAATTTTGAGTAAGTAATTAGGTTTAGTAAGTATTTTATTAATTTGTATAAACAAATTAGGTACATAATTATTTTCAAACTATCCGTGTATAAAGTTGATCAACATAGATACCTAGGTACCTATCTATTTTACAAATCTATTAACTAGGTACCTACTGTGGAGCGGCGAAGTACAAATGGTTACACATCAAGCTATGCGACACCAGTATAAACTGACCGTTAAATGCATAGAAAAATCGTACAAAGCGAGATCAAGATGACTGGATTTTAAAAACATTAACAAAACAAACTATACCTATAATCGCAAATCGTAGTTTATTAAAAGAAATAATAAAATTGTTACCTTTTTTGAGTTACGCCTAGCCCGGACATACGACACACGCAAAATCGCCTTTGGAAATATTTTCGTTTCTTCTTCGAACGACAATAAGGACAACGCACTCATTTTTAATTTATTGAACAACACAAATTACCAGCACAGAGCTCACAGCTATAATTTTACATAATTTTCGGTAAATTAACAGTTCATTTAAATTATAATTCATTACATTACAATTTATTCACTTGCACATAAAAACATAACCAAAACAAAATGGCCAAAAAAAACGTAAACAATAAGTTGACCAAAATTAATATATCTATTTTCAATCAACAAACGCTACGTTTTGTTGACTTCTTAAATTAGTCGGATAACGAAGAAGCAGTGCTTTTGCAGTTGTATAGAAATTACCAACCTAACAAAAAAAAAATCCAACATCAGCACGAGAAAACAAGCAAATTGTACCGGCTACGCATTAGTACATGCTTCCGCCACCATCACACAATAGCGAGGTGGCGGCGCCACTGGCGCAATGCTTCAATATATCGAAGAAAGTAGAAAGTGGTTGTAGTACTTCAATATTTTTTCGATAGATGGCGTTAGTGACCAGTTTTTCAAATTAAGTATCAATAAAATTACGAAATCTCTGTATGATGTCAGTAAATATTCATGTCGTGTTTATGAGTGACACTATGTATTTGACTATGTAGGTTTACCATGATTTTGTAGGGTATGCAGTGCTTATTTGCATGTATGGTGTGTATCAATACATAGTATAAAACAAAGTCGCTTTCGCTGTATGTCCGTATGTATGCTTAGATCTTTAAAACTACGCAACGGATTTTGATGCGGTTTTTTTAATAGATAGAGTGATTCTTAAGGAAGGTTTGTATGTATATACATATTGCACCCGTGCGAAGCCGGGGCGGGTCGCTAGTATGAAATAAATAATAGTCTGTCAGTCTGTCCATCAGTGAAGCTATTCGCTCGTTCCAAAATGTCGATTCGAGTGGAGAAGAACGAGCAAGAAACTCCATAGTCTTAGTTCTTACTTATATTTTTACCTATTTTTTCAGATACAAAATCTAGTCGCAGTAGTATTGTGTGGATCTCAACTGGCGTTGTTCGTGATCTATCCTTCGAAGCCGAAGCCAAGCAAAGAAAAGAAGCCTAAAGCAAAGAAAGCCGACTAAACCGAATAGTTAGGACGAACCACAACGTTGCCTCTTTAGGATGTAGGTATGTGATTTGGTCGGGTTATCCTTAACTGTGCTTTTGCAAAGATAATACTGCTTAAAATCGTAAAGAGCGTATTCCTTTTTAAAAGGCCGGCAACGCATCTCCTCTGGTGTTGCGGGTGTCCATGGGCGGCACTTATCGCTTACCATCAGGTGATCCGTCTGCTTGTTTGCCTCCTATTCCATAAAAAAACCACATTATAAAAAATCTGATTGTGTTTGACCCCATAGCCCTTATGGGGTCAAACACAATCAGATTTTGCTCTTAAATAAGAGTTTAATGAAATTACAATCCTAATTGGTACAACCAATTTCAAGATTTTACTCAAAATAAAACTTATAGCTACCTTTTATATTTTTATTTAACTTTTCAACTTTTCAATGCAATAAATAAATAATTACTAAATAATCATACTCTCATCCATTGATTTGACAATAGACCTACTTTTGGATTTATTTTCGTTAATATTAAAGAAATAAGTATGCTATTTGACGCAGAAATATGATGACGTCATAAGTTGCGATTCAATTCAAAATTCATAGAAAAGTATCGTTTTTGACATTTCAATAAAAGTATTGAATTTGACTACCTGTCAACTACCATATTGAGAACACCTAGGTAAATACTGTGTATTGTTTACCTGCATAATGCAAAAATACAGCAAAGGAAAACTCGACTGTATTTAGTTAAGTATAGAACAATTTTGTATACGTTTTGTAAAATAACTCATAGCCACATGAATGCATTATAATTGTGATTTGGATGTTATTAACTTATCAGCAATCTGAGATTTTGTTATTATACATATATCTGATAATTTACAACCAATATATCTAAGTGCAAATGAATGTACCCCAAACTGTGAATGTTCTTTAATTAATAGACTTTCAACCGTATTGCTTTGTAATAGAATCGAATATGTCATGGCATATATTGATGCGCATCTGTACAAGTCCTAGTTATAAAACATGTTAGATTTGTTTAAATATTGGTTTAAAATGTTACGTTACATTTCCTTCGCAGTTTTCCACAAATATGTTTTATTAAATATTTTTTTTTTTTGTTAACTACATAATTTTGTTATGAAATAACATGTTATGATTATTATACCTTAACTTGCAAGCTTCCAATTGTAAAATATGTTATGTTTGTCAATTGTTGTTACTATATTGATGTTACATTTAAGTTAATGAGATTTTAATACTTATTGTCATACATTTTGAATAAATAGAAAAAAAATCAGTTTTATAAAGACTTGACGTATTTTCGTTACCTCATTTCTTCGTTGTTTAGTGTAGAGGTATATTCATTACATTCCATCAGAGTGTCTTGGATTCTAATTAAAATAACTATATTTTATATCGAAAGTAATGTATTTATATCCATTTATCTGTTTATTTCAATAAAATGAATATTGTTATCGTCGTTGTTCTGAAATAAACTTTATTTACAGTGTAATACAATTTACTTTTGTGTGGTTATTTGCATTTATAGCTGATGTTCAATGGATTATGTATCTTTGTAAGTACAATTTTAACAATGATAGTATAACTTTGTGTTTATCCTCCATTTTATTTGTAATTAGAAAAACGTATTAAAATGCCGCACACGTTTGCTTAGCAATTGAACAAGTCCTTTGTAAAATCCTCCCAATATTGTGATATCAAACATGTGAGATTGTGAATCAAAATAAAGTAATTTTGTAATAATTTTATTTAATGTGTTATTTCTCATCCGCTTTTATAATTTTTACATATTTATTCAAAAATAGTATTCATATTATTAGTTTTTGTATCGAAAATCGCCAAACTGCATAAAAATAAATTATTTAACAATGAAATAATACAGTAGGTATGTAGTAGTTAGGGGAAAATAACTTAAGGTGAATAAAATTCGAGGGATGAATAGATACTATGAAGAATTTATCAATGCTTATTGGTTGTGTGACGAATGAAATACTGCGTATAATTTTGGAGCTAGACGATAGATGGCGTATAAAAAATTCAGTAATGTTTGACATTGACATACGACAAATTATGTCAGAAGCTTACGTCAAAATCCTGACGTTTCTGTTTATACAGGACGTTTCTAAATGACAAAAAAAGTTTTTCATAAATCGCCATTTGACTTTTAGCATTAGTCAACATACTTATTTGGAAGATAAAATAAACTTATGCTAGTTCCAGTATTGACGAGAAAAAATCTCAGGTATAAATATCGTACCTATAATGTAGCGCTCTCTGATTTCTCCTTAAAAGAGAGAGTTGGCGTAATAAAATCACAAAATTGAAGACTACTTAGTACTTTTACTTAGTAAATTATAGTATTTGATTACATATTTATCAAGTTTTCATTTCTGTTTGAATCTAACTTCGACGTAGAGCTTACAAATGACTTCGCCTGTGTTTGTGAGCGACACAACGAAGTCGAGGCGTCCCTTCTCGAAGGGGAACACGTTGGGAAAGTGTTCCGTCGGCGCTGTTATGTTCATTATACCGTGGTAGCCCTGAAATGTACATGATCTATGTATACATATGTATAAAACAGTAGAAAAATGTGCTTCTAAATTAAACTCTACTTGTGTAACTTACAGCAGGCAAGGGGCACACCACACCAGCGTTCCTGATAGCCCCACCGATGAAAGCGTCCTTATTTACAAGGTCACAGAACTTATAATGGTGCGTTATGAACGAGGGCCGGTACTCGTTGTGCAAGTACTGGTTGATTTCTATATCCACCTGCAAACATATGTTAATTGGTAAATGTTTAAATAGGATAGTAAACAATAAACATGCCATAGCTGAAATTATCGTAATAACTATCTGGATTAATACGTACATTTTTTTAAAGATATTAAAGGTACTAAGGATAAATAGGTACCCAATGTCTAACATTGATTTCAATTTAAAGATTTCGTATAAATATCACTTCAAATAGTAATCGTCAAAGTTGACGGTCGACCATCATTGTGCGATATTCGCATGCTCTTAGCGCGAGTGACCAAAGGAAAGCCCAGGGTGTGGTAAGCGAGTTTGCCACAGGAAGAGTGAAAAGTGTAAACCCTAAACTTTACCGATAGTACCTACCTTTGCTTTGTTTGCTTTATATTATTCTAGCTTTTACCCGCGGCTTCGCTCGCGTCACAAAAGGATAAAAAGTAGCCTATGTGACTATCCATCCCTTCAACTACCTTCAGTTAAAAAATCACGTTAATTAGTACCTCCGTTCTGCTGTTTATGTAAGACAGGCAAACAAACAAATAGCTTTCCGCTCGCGTGGAATTCGGTTATATCGCGCTATTTAGTTTTTTCCAATGAGTAGGTAATTCGTTGACTGGTTTTAAATGACATACAGCGCCATGTATACCAATACACACAGCGCCATCTACACCAATATTTTTTGTTTTCCCTCGGAAATGTCAAATTTTTCCGGAATAAAAGTACCCTATTATTTAATCCAGACTTCCTTTAATCCAACTTTACGTCTGCAAAACTTCAAAGCAATCGGTTTAGTAGGTACGGCGTGAAAGCGGAACAAACAAACAAACTCACTTTCCGATTTATAATATAATAAGTAAGGAATAAGTAAGGATGTTAAAGCAAGCAAAGGTCTTAATTGTTTTGTCGAAAATATTTAAAAAGCCTGTACATAATTATAGTAATATTGCGAACCGTAATGTTGTTATTCCACATCTGCCTGGTGGTGCCCATCAAGTTGATGTAGTAGCGAGACCTCCTGCTGTAGCGCCGAATGTTTATCGTCAAGTTCGTCGTGTACTGAGGGTTCACGAATGTCACATTTGCTCTTTCGGGAATCACTTCCATGCTCTGTAAGTGTAAACAAACGATATCGCTAAATGATCTTTTTGATAGAATTAATTGGATTGAATTTCATTTAAGTTTGAGGACTTTAGAATAGGTGCCTATAAGACCGAGTGAGTAGTAGGAGTGGTAAATATTTAGTGACACATACTATAAGTGCTATCCCCACGTTACCGGCCAATGTCAACCTTCGTATTCTCCTTACGTGTGTGTGAGATCTTTATTCAGTAGTCATAGCCTAAATTAAACTGGTGATTCTATAAGCAATGGCTTCTGTTGGACCATTACCACACACAAGTGAGTTCAGATTACTCCTCTATAAAGGACAAACCCACAAATTAAATCTGTACCTAAGTAATTAGTGATGACATCTTGAGATATAAATCTTTACAATAATTAAGGCATTGTTGTTACACCTATGTACAATTTAGGATGAAAGTTATGTAACAATGAGAATGCATAGTTAATTTTTAAGCGGGGATAATCACCGAATTACTCCATATCCAGATGGGAGAGTGTCAGACTCTTACCGACTAAAAACCATCCCGTTCCTACTTCTATACCTCGAGCCGTAGCATGATTTTCCCCCCTTAAAAAAAAATACTTCGAGCCGTAGCCCCAGTAACCTTTTACGTTCTCCGCGGCTCCGTATCGGCCGCCGAATGTACTTATAGTTAACTTGTTTTAATAGAACTAGCTTTCCCTACATGTCAGTTCTTCTCCATGCTTTTTGGAACGTACACTTTGCTTCACTGACGGACTGACTTCTATTGTTGACGTTCCAAAAGTGCCCGTACGTACCTACGTGGTCTAGTTGAAATAAACGCTTTGACTTTCAATTGCAAAATTACAGCAAACTAGGTACTTACATCGATGACATGAACAATTATCAACATCAGAAGAGATGTAGGAAGAGGTCGTAACATGATTCTAACGCAGCCGAAGATAGTAATAGCTAGGTTACCTGTGACATCTACATGTGTTAGGAAGTTAGGATCAGTACCTAGTTTAGTTAGACTACCTAATAATAGAAAACAATTTATTTTTTCCATAATATGTTCCTATTTAATGATAACATCGATAAATACAAACTAGGCAGTATGCGTATGCAGGTAATTATTATAATTTGTTTTCAGTAAATAGATATGGGTAGTTATGGCTAACATAATATTAAATCATTCTAGACTAAACTTAGACTGTTTTAGTTCCAGTATGAGTATGTAGGGTACCCATATGAGTCTAATGCGTGATGCAAGTGACTGAGTAAATGACGTTTCAAGATTAAGGGCAACTCTACAGGTGTAGGAACTTCCTTAATTGTTATATTTTTAATCTTTCCACGTTTTCAAATATGATGACAAATTGATACTGATATTTTTTTTATTTTTTTTTTAAACGTTGCCCCACACTAGGATTTTCTCCTGTGTCGTGGGTGCGTTTACAAACATACAATATCACATACACATCACACCCAGACCCGAAACAACAATTTGTGGATCACACAAAGTGTTGTTCCGTGCGGGAATCGAACCCGCGACACGTTGCACGGCAGCCGGTTGCCCAGCCACCGCACCAACCGTGCAGTCGTCAACAGTGCATATTGATGACATTGCTTTTCTTTATCGAAGGCAATAAAATATTTATGAGCGATGATGAATGTCGACACAATACCACAATAACATCACTAATTCGGCTTGAGCCGGAGCGGGCGTAGTGCGACTGCAGCGATTGATTGAGTTCACCCAAACTCAAAGCATTTATGTCAAGAATCATTTAACAAAACACTTTTGAATTGTCATCCGTCAGTCTGTTCGCCAGTACAGTTATGTAGGTGTCCACTCAAAATGTAGATTCGTATGGAGGAAGCCGAACAAGAAATTTCATCGTTACACTATTTCCAAATTACCTACATCCATAACCTTGAAGTCATCACTCTTGTCTTTAACTCAAATTTCATCATCATGATCTCCACTATCAGCCTCTAATTGTTCTACTTCAACTGGCGCCAAAAGACCTCTTCTCATATAATGGAGAAGGGATAAGCATTAATTATTTTTAGGGAACAGAGAGTATAGTTCCCTAAGATCGGAAAAGGAGTACCCTCCGACCAGATCGTGCCAGGCGGGCTTTATGCCCAACAGTTGTTCGTTGGGATTTTCTATCCGTGTTAATTTGCATGTAAACTTTGCATGTGCGATGTAGGATTTTATGACGTCGTCCGTTGACATGTGACATTACTGTGTCGCCACAATGTGCCATAGCATTCACCATCCGTGCTCGATTCCAAACTCAAGTATCAGTGATGCCTAATTGAATATCTTAGTAACTAACTTGGCAAACGTCACATTGGTACTTGACAGTTCAAACCGCACGTCCTTCGAAGATTCTCCACTCAGATGTATTTTACTTTATTCTGACGGTATTAAAATTTAAATGAAAACAATCATTTTAAAAACATTGTTTAATATTTCATACAAATAAATCATTTTTGCTTGAACCTAGCTTCGATGAAGAGCTTTAGGACTGGCTCGCTCGTGCTGGTAAGGGACACTGTGAACTCTATGCGTCCCTTCTCGAAGGGAAACACGTTGGGGAAGTGTTCTGTCGGTGCTGTAATGTTCATTACAGCGTGATAACCCTGTGGACAAAGACCAGAAAATATCTAAATATAGGAAACAAGAAGGTGCTAGTCTAGAAGTCTGGCGGCCCGAAATAACTTGAAGTAAGAGTAGGAAGACGAAGAGAAAAAAATAATAGGTAGATATAATATGATACTACATTTCGTTAGCAGAACTTACAGCAGGCAAGGGGCATACCAGACCCGCGTTCTTGATAGCACCGCCAATGAAGGGCTCCTTATTGACGAGGTCGCACAACTTGTAGTGGAAGCCCACGAATGAGGGCCGGTACTCATTGTGCAAGTACTGGCTGATTTCAACATCGGCCTGGAAGCAAAGCATTCATATAAATATAGCGAATACACTGTTAAGATCACAGACCACAATATCTGCTTAATACAAGAGAATTTTCAGGGGAACGACCTTCGGGAAGAAGACAAGAGAATTTCAAAAATGTCCAATAGACGCGAGTATCGAGTACGGTCACCCCAACCGGCAATGTAGACATACGTATATTACGTATAGAAAAATAAATTAAAAGTATATTTTACCGTAATATTGTTAGTCCAGGTTTGCATGTTGGTGCCCATCAAGTTGATGTAGTAGGCAGACTTCCTGTTGTACCGCCGAATGTTTATTGTCACATTTGATGCGTATTCGGGGTTCGAGAATGTCACATTTGCCCTTTCAGGTATCACTTCCAAGCTCTGCAAGTAAACGTATTATTACGTCACTTCAAAAATATATGTATTATAACTGTCGTGAGAAATAATAAATTTGAATATTATGTTTTGCGGCTCGCTCACGCAATTATATTTGACGAGGAACTCGACCCTACACATTACACCCGATTATTATTAACACAATCTAGGTAGCATATTTTTATTTCAATAATTGTATGCTTACTTTAATTACTTGGATGCCAAGGATTAAACACAAAACAAATAGAACATTATGCGGAAACATGACTTGGACGAAAGAAAACTGTGGAATATGTAGTGTCCACCATAGCTACACGCAGATACATGCATAGGTACTCATGCTATTTAGATAATTACGTAAAGCTATCGAATTGATTTGTATAACAGTTTAAAAATATTTAGCTTTTTCCAAAACGATGATTGTACGCGATAAGATTTTGCGTATCGATAAATGTTAAATTAACTATAATCTAGGGTAGGAAGCAGTTACCATAATTTGTTTTGGCAAAACAGTTAAACCAACAAGTATACCAAATACATATTCGAACCGAACAACAAATTCATTGGTAGCAAATAATTAATTTTATCTCATTTCCTGTTGTTTAATCTGAATTTTGCAAAGTTATTCATTTCAATGAAGATCAATAAATAGTATTTTAATGTAGCTACTATACCAAATACCTATTTAAATATAAAAGTGTGAATGACGAATTTTGTTAAATAGCAAGCTTGTACCTCAGGCCAGCTGACACCTGGCATTACATATGTACGCCTGTATATATACAGGGTGACTTGTTGTAACTCAACGTATTCCTCTCGGGTGGTGATAATACAACTAATTTCCTACAAAATTAGCCCTGAGATCTGTGGTTAGTTTCTGAGATATTAAACATTTCCGGTTTTGGTGAAAAAATCCCGATTGAACTACAAAACCACCAATAAATAAAAAACTACTGGTTTGATTTAAGTGATTTTAGTTTTAATTTGTTTTCAATACATAAATAAACATTTATTAATACTAATACTATATTGGCAGAAATATCATTCGGTTTAAAATAGCAAGTAAATTAATATCAAATTTTGTTTTGAGTCACTAATTTGAATATAGAAAACTGCATTTGGTTTAAAAAATTGATATCACACTAAGCGTACTGTTACGAGAGTCCTTTAGGATTTCTTTTTAAAAAAAACTAATTTTATATTAGAACTATTTTAATTAGTTAAAGGACTGAGTATACAACCGTACCGTTCGGAGATCTTGTCCAGACTGAGGGGTCTGGCATGCCACCTTACACGCTAAGATATAATAATGATGACGATGTAGTTTTATGTCATCCCAGCATAAACCCTTACATGTCAGGGATATAACAGTACAAACTATTACAAAAACTTCCTTGGTTTATTAGCTACCCAAAAACACTTAATTATTTATAAAATTCTCAAAAATAAATTAATCAATTGATAATAAGTAAAGTGTAAAAGAAAACGCGCAATACTAAAAACATCCTATGATGAATACATACTCGCACACTCTCTCACAGAGATCTCTCACGCTTAAACTGAATGAGCGTCTTATTTCTTTAGTCGGTTCAATTGTAAGTTGTACCTATAAGATCCAAGCTTTCTTAGGCGAATTATGGACGGATTAGAGCAATACGACCAGGATATTACAAACTATTACAATATCTAGTCCCAAAAAAGGCTATGAAATCCAAGAAAAGCAAACAAACAGGTTCACTATGACGGTACTACCCATTTACTTGTTTGTCCAAATCCTTGTTCAACAATTGCAATGGTGATAATTATCAGGATTTTATAAAGAATGAGCTAGGGTCATTGCTAGTAAATGTGGATTCAGAAACAAGGAGACAAATGATACTTATTCCAACACGATAGTTGGCCAGCGCGTTAGGTATCGAATTACTGTGCGGCAACAGCTGGATACCTCGTTTCTAAGGCGTTGGATTGGCAGGGGGGTGGCAATTCTAAGGTCCGCACCATGTCCAGAGCTAGCACAGGTTTGTCACTTCAAGAGTGACCGCCGCAGATAAGGAAGCGTGTGCAAGCATGTATTCATCATAGGGAAGGTCCTTACCGACTTCAAAAAAGGAGGAGGTACTATGTCCGCCTGATTTCTTTTTTTTTTGTTTGTTCACCGATTTCCAATATTCTTGTTTTGTTTGCATGGGTATACTCCCGTGATGGTCCGATTTCCATGAAGTCAGGATCTGATGATGGCATCCTAGGGAAACAGAGGGGAACTTTCGAAAATTGTAGGGGCAAGTAATGAGTCTATTATGTTTTTCAATTAGAGTAGACCTGATCATAGATCCGACAGACGGAGGAACTCCTCAATGGTTTATATTAACTACTTTGTGTTGGCTTGGCTTGCTTACCTTGGCTTGCTTAATGTGTATTGATGAGAATTTTACACCTAAATCGAGAGGGACTTTCATTATGGGTCTGATGATGAAGAAGTGTAATTGTTAAGGAATCTCCTCAACGGTATACCGTAACTACCTTGTGTTTAGGCTTTATTAATTTGTACTAATGACAACTTTACACCTAAATCGAGTGGGACTGTCATTAAGGGTCTGATGATGAAAAAGTGTGATTGTGAAGGGAACTTTTTAAACTGTCAAACACCAAGCGGTCACCGGTGACCGCAACCTATTGTTCTATAATTGTCGCGGAGAACCTAACGGGTAACCGGGGCTCCGGCTCGACGTGCAGGAGATGGAACGGGGTGTTTTTTAGTCAGTAAGAGTCTGACACTCCCTTCCGCCTCACCCAGGCGGGAGCAGTCATTCGATGATTTTCCCCCCTTAAAAAAAAATTGTTCTATAATTGTGTCTACAAAACCGGTACTCGACGAGTTAACGGTTTATAGTAACTACCTTGTGTTTAGGCTTATATAATTTGTATGGATTAAAATTTTGCACCTATGTTGATTATAAGTGGCAAAACGGATCTATGCTACTTTACACGAATTATGATAAAATAAAAACTGCGTTTAAAAACCGACTTCGAAAAACCAAAAACGAATAACAAACAAAAAGTAAAAACTAAAAAGCAAAAAAAACTAGGTATTATTAGTGCTGATATGTTAACCACCCACTGATAGGTTAGATAAGTCGGTGCCATAAGCTCATATCATTATCATAATTACGTATATTAAGATATATGAGCTTGGGCTACAAAATTGTAAATTAGGTTTCTAATAAGGTTTTATTGAATATTTTTTTTACTATAAGGATTTTTATTTAACACGTTAAACGCCATGGCAGTCACTGGTGACCGACATTAGCGGAGGATTTGCCTTCAACAGTTTTTTATTGGCAGCCAATGCCTTAACCTATCAGGAAAAGCAAAAGGAAAAAAGAAAACAATATTAAAGGTTATTAAAACATATTCTTTCATACCTGTGAGAGGGTTTCAATAATGGAAATCAATAATGTTTTAAAGCTTGATTAACTAATCTAGCTATATTAACTAATCTAACTTTAAAAACATTTTTGATTTTCTTTTTAAAAACCAATTTAACATCAATTACCTTTTTATCTTTTGGCTTTTCTACAATTTATCAAGTATTATTTTTATTTAAACTATTTATTTCACAACCCAAGGCTATTTGCCATTGCTTACTATCATTGGAGTTCATCGCCTCATCGAATGAATTTGGTACATTTGCATCAATATAGTTTACATAAATAAAATGTCAAAAACCTATAGATAGTATGCAGAGTCGCGAAACGTTTTTATATTAGTAATAAAATAAAATTAGCTGATAATTTGGAAAGTTATACACAACGAGACTGGTAGGAAAATATTAAGAAATTCAGAATTTAATTTAAATACCGAAAGGGGACTGATTTCATCAAACGTAGATGTAGCCCAGAAGTTTTATATTTTTTTTATTATTATTCCTATCAAAACAACTGAGCATTTAAAGTCATTAGCAAATCTCTCTGTTACTTTGTTTAAGAACAACATTTTTTAGAGTTTTTAAAGAATTCAAGACCAAATCAACGGATGATCTTTGGAGAATATCGGTAAAAGTTTGCAAGTCACCCAATAAAACTGTATCTGGCTGTGATTTTCAATAAATGTATAGATGACGGTGTTTTCCCTGGCCTAATGAAATATAGTAAAGTTATCCCACTATTTAAAAGTGGTGACACTAAAGAACCTAACAACTATAGGCCAGTGTCTGTTTTACCGGTTCTCAGCAAAGTCTTTGAAAAGTTGAATCTGTCTCGGATGCTTCATCACTTTAATAAACATTCTATCTTTCACCAACAACAATACGGTTACACTAAAGGTCGTTGCACAACTGACGCCGGTGTCACTTTGAGGAAGGAAATATTTGGTGTTTGGGAGGAAGCACAGGATGTTATTGGTGTCTTTTGTGACCTTTTAAAAGCTTTTGATTGCGTTGACCACGAGACACTTCTGCTACGATCACTACGGGATATGCGCTCCGTCTTATGAAAACTTATTTAGAAGAAAGGTAATTGGGCTTCCGGTAATCTCACTCACACGACGAAACACAGCGACGGTATCACTCCGGTCAAGACAGCCCATTCGTGCCGATGCATGGCTCTCCCACACTTTAAATTGCACAGAGCTGAATAATAATATTAGTATTTTTCATTTTACACCGTCAAGGCCAAATTTACTATGATAGTTTGCTGGTTCTTTTATAGCATAAGCTGGTAAGTAATCTGCACCTGATGGTAAGTAATCTGCACCGCCCATGGACACCTGAAACACCAGAGGCACTAGAATTGCGTTACCGGTCTTTAGGGAATTGGGAATTTGAGGATTGTTGGGGATTCGGGGTTGGGGAGACTGAGAAGGGAGAGGGGGATAATTGGGCCTCCGGTAAACTCACTCAAACGGGGAAACACAACGCCATTCTTCTTTAGGTAACCGAGGACTGGGCTCGTTGTCATTGCAGCGGTAAGTCCCCTCTTTGAGAAGTGGCTTGAGAGACGCTACGGCGTCCTCACCTACCACCAGACGCAGGTGCTCACCGGATACGGGAGTTTCCTTAAGTTTCGGTTTCGGGTTCGGCAGGAGGAAAAGCCCGAGTGTCATCACTGCGAGAACCGCCCGGAGGAGACGTTGGAGCATACCTTAGCGGTGTGCCTTGCGTGGGTTGAACACCGCCATGTTCTCAGTGATGTAGTCGGTGACGATGACCTCTTGCGTTCGGCTCTGGTTTAGGCCATGGACCGAAGGGGATTGGGATGCCCTCTTCTCCTTAAAATAAATAATAAGAAAGAGAAAGAAAACAAATAAATTATTTTACTTTCTCTTTCTTTCTTTCCTTCTGCGAAGCATTTATGCTTGCCAAGGAGGAATGCCATATGCGGTGTTCTTGGGTAATATTCGAGGTCTAAACGTTCAACAGCGAGATCTT